TCGATCTTCTCGTATTCCCTAGTCCATACACGTTCGCGAAGCAGTAGCTACGATTAGCGCACCCATCACACGCAGTGGCACCGCTGCATTGCTCAACAGAACCAGATTGAATCCGTCAATAACTTTCTCATTGGTAAAATGACTGCCCATAGCCCAATATAGTATGCTGGTGTGATCATATAATAGAAGTACCGAAGAAGTACCGAAAGGAAGAAAGAAGTAAGTTTAACCAGCCGAATTCGTGGCTCAGGATGGTGATACCGTTTAACACGTCATTCCACTCTCTACAAAAGTCCGCCAAAGTCTTCTGACGTGCTTCGAAGGCCTGTTTAAAGCTGTTTTTGTCAGCTGATTAAATAAGATGGCCGAAAACAGGACAATACTCTCCAGTATCCGTTTCCAGAGGAAATGAACTATCCAGAACACACAGCACAGAGTCGCAAAAACATAACGGACGGTGCCACACTTCCCTGCCACTACGTTATAGAATTCTGCAAGGTCATTCATACAAAAGCGTTGCTGGCTGGGACAATAACGAAGCTACCAAGAGCGGTAAACTGAGTCCACATTATTAACGTCGAACGTTTTCCTTTAATCCCCATCACACAACATACCAGCGTACAAAACAATCCCGGCACTGATTACATCCAACACATACAAAATAATTTCAAGAAAGTTTATGAAAGCGCAACTAGAGATATAATCGTACACTAAGTACAGCACTGAACGGACACACAATACAGGCGCGCAAGACACACGCCGTGTTATTACACGGGGCAAAAGATCAAAAGAGGAGTGCCCAGGGATCCATAAAACTACCATAACATACCAACACGTTCTAATGAAAAATATATAACACAGATACTGTCAGGCGGTAAGAATGGTGAACCAGCAGAGTTCCTCGTTCAAGACGTTCACACAAAAAAGTGCGTCATTCCACTGTCGACACAAATCAGTCCATGACTTCTGCGCTGCTTCAGGTTTCCGCTAAATTTTGTTTGCCAACTGGATAATTAAAACGGCCAAAAAAAGACTTGAGTTTCCATTTCCATGATAAAGCCCTTTTTAAAGGTTTACTACCGTTCTACAGCTTTCCCTGTGCTCTTGCCATGGTCATACCGATTAGCAGTAAGAAGTTACAAAAGATTTTCAAAGAGTTTTGCAAAATGCGCCGTCATTAGTCGTGTCGCTTTATGACTTTCCGTACTGTTGACAAATAACTTAGGAGCTGAGTTAATCACTGGATCTTCTGCGTGATGCAAAACCGTGAGAATGGTGCTGGAATGTTGCTTATGACAGCAGGGTTCGTGAGTGTTTATTCGCGTCAATACCCTTCAACAAAAGTCAGATATCGTGGTTGACCTGTAGTAGGGTTTGCATGGCGAACACTGTTTAAGTTTGTAAATTTCTCGTTGTGTACGTTTACCGCGAACATTCTGGATGCTGGAGAGCGGATGCCCTCATATACCACAGTCATGTTTGCGCACAGAAATAGTGTAGAACTGTTTGAAAAAATTGGTGCTCGGCATGGAAGTATGAATGCATACGGTAGTCCATCAAGTTTTTCAAAGATAAATTGTTAAGGTCGCGCCTTGTGCAGATCCGGTCTTATGTATCCAGTCTTTCATTTTTGCAAGAAGCTTTTGGTTCCCTGTTTATTCTAATATTTGTTGTTTACGAGAACAGCAACAATAATCTTTTATGAAAAAAAAAACATCAGAAGAACAAATGGCTATTATCCGGCTTAATTGTGGTACTCTGTCCAGAGAGCAGCGTTATTTGTTCCAAGAACCAGTCAACATTTGGTCGTCCTCTATCATGTCCAATTTCGGCAAACATCACAGCGTTGGCGAAAATCGTTCCAGCCAGCTGAAAGTTTAACGATGAGAAACAGCCAAATAAGAAACCAAGGCAGTATGAGAAAACATACCCCCAAATATAAATCTCTGGTCAGACATAATCCCCCGATGGAAAAAGTACGCGCTTCCGTTCTCAGACGTTTTACCAGTCTCTGAATGTCTTGACTGCTGTCAGTGGCATTTGCCGAATGAAAATTCAGTGTCGGTAAGGCGGAGGTCATCTACAGAAAAATTGGACATTTTAAATAAAATAAATATTTTTGGTGTAAATTTTGATGATCATGTTCTGCTTGATTCTGGGAATTTTCTTCATACATATTCACGAAGCGCCACGAACAGCGCACCCATCACACCCAGTGATACCGTGGCATTGCCCAACAAAACCGGGTAATATCCATCGATTAATTTCTCATTAGCAAATGATTGTCCCACATAATATGCTGGTGTTATCACATAATACAAGTACTGAAAAGCAGTAAGAAGGGTAAACCAGCAGAATTCCTGGTTCAAGATGTTCACACAGCAAAGCACATCATTCCACTCTCGACAAAAATCAGTCAGTGACTTCTGCGTTGTTTCAAATTTCCAATTAATTTTGTTTACCAACTGAATAATTAAAGCGGCCGAAAACAGGACTAGAGTTTCCAATATCCGCTTCCAAAGAAAATGAACTCTCCAAAATATGTAGTAGAGAGTCGTAAGAACGTAACAGATCACGTTGCATGGTTCTGCCACGGCCAAATAATATTCTTGGAGGTCATACAAACAACAGCAGTAAAACTGCGTAATCGACTGGAATATTAACCAAGCGGCGAACAGTAAAAACAATTTCAGCTTGTCTTGTTTATCGAAGAATTGACTGTACTTGGCGTCAACATCGCCCATTACACGCCGAACGATCTCCCCTAATCTCCATCCCGCTCGCACAGCATACAGTACGGTACCGGCACTGACGACGTCCGAAGCGTACATAACAACTTCAATAAAATTAATGAACTCGTAGCCAACGGTATAATCGTATAGTAAGTAACACTGAACGGACACCACAATCGTAGCTTGTAAGGCAGCGAACGCTTTGCACGCCCAAGTTAATAAGCGGGACGAAAAAATGTCATCCGGAAAGTTGGTAAAGCCCATCATCCATAGCACTACCAGAAGATATCGGTACGTTTTGCTAATAAAACCTTTTGTAAAAGGTTTGGTTTCGTTTAACAGCATTGGACTGGTCCGCGTCATGGTCATACTGATAGCCGATTAGAAATTAATTTTCAAGGATCTTACGCAAATGAGCCGCCACTATCCGTGTCTTTTTGTGGTTCTCTGTATTATCGAAAAATAACTGAGGAGTTGAGTTGTTATATACTTACACGATGCAAAAGCGTGATCATGTTGCTGCATTGCTGCCGATGGCAGGAGCGTTTATATTTGTAAAGATGATCGGCAAAGCAACTCGATTACGTATATGGGACATTTGCGAATGTAAATTGTGTTTGTGTAAATAGCCCTCCCTTAAGTCCTGCTTGCGTAGAGGAGGTTCAGGCCGGGAAATATGTCATACTTATGGGAATAAGAGAACTTCGCATCAGCCTTACTTTAATAACAATTACAGGCTATAGAAGTATCAGTTTTAGTTGATTACAGTCTACAGATACAGTATGTATTCTGTAATCCTAATGTTCTATACAATATGACAGTTAGCATGTTTCCCATTAAAGGCGCGCATTATCCACCGCTCCCAAGCTTTGGCCTTAAAAAATACAATACCGAATCCACAAGAAACTTATTCTAGGCTTCGGCAGCAATATCAATATGGTTTCATCTCTTTTACCAGCGCCCAAATTAAGCTAACGATCCTTGTAAATCACTTTCCAAGCGAACATAAAAAATTATTATTGCAAAAATTTAAGGTCACGTGGACAGCCTCTTAGTACATAGTCACAAAGTGATAGTGGCCTTCCTACACAAATGAGGATTGTGTTCGAATAGAAACAGGCTTAATCTTTCCGGTATCAAATTCATGCGCGATCGCATGGTTTAAATATTTCATAGTTTCGTGCCGGAGTGGCACTCCGTTTATAGTGAACACCTATTAATATGTTTTTTGACAGGTACAATATTGTTATTAATCTGACCAAAGCCATAAAAACAATTGCTGCCTATTTTTCGATCAGCTTGGTAGTATCATGGCGGCATATATCTGTACAGAGTAGCGATCGGCGGCGGAAGTTGTACGGGCTGTTTATAAGTACTCAGTAATATCGCGGAATCGATAATTTTGTCTGGCTTGCACAATGGCTCTAATACGCCAAGATTATAAACGCAATACATTCCGCACAGCATGCAGAAGCGGTCCTTCTCTTCATATGGAGCTACGGTCAATTAGCTGTTATCGTTGTTATTGGTATTATAATCAGTACCATCAGGTAATCAGCTGCTCTTGATGACGCGATCACCGTTTCCCGCGTGTGACCTACGAGATAGTTTGATTTTCTCGAAATCCATCCGAAAATGCCTTTTGAGATAATTAACAAAGAGCACGCACAACCGTCTCGTCTTCGTCTTCCGGCGATGGCAGTGCCGCTTTGTTCCGCAACCAGTTGTTGTGAAAGTTTCTGTTGGTTGTTGCAAAGATAAACGGCGGACGAAACGGACTTCCGTTCGATCCATCGGTCAGGTATTTATGCCCTCGTTAGTCTTCCCATGGTCGTTTGATCTTGCAGCGAGTGACTTTATTTAATTATTTACATAATATCATATCGGTATCTCTGCGTGGGACTATGCCATTATAACTGCATTAGATGGATCCCAGCTTTTGTCGCACTCTGTTGTCCGAGCTATTTGATTACCGGACTGAAATACCTAGTCCGAGAGCAACATACCTTCCTGTGATCTTCTACGCCATCGTTGCTGAAAATGCATTATTTGCCTGGCATTGATTGCGGACAATATCGCCTTATATTTCTGCAACCACGGATTTTCCCGGTTGCACCGCTATAAAACACAGAAACTTATAGAAAATGTTTATTCCGTTATTTCCTCGTCACAGCCATGTTCAACAGCACCAGCGTAAATTTCTCCTCCAGTTTTTCCAATCAAACCCTTACATCACCGCCGCGTGTAATATGGCCGTTCGACTCCATAATGACTTTAACCTGCAGCATCCTCATGGCCATCCTAAACTCGGTGCTGGCTGCCGTATTCCTCAGCAAACCTGATTTGCGCTCTTCTTTTGCATCCTATCTAACCGCCCTCCTCATTTTCAACGCCCTGGTTTCCATCCACGGATTTCTTAACGTCGTCAAATCGCGCTATCCCGTGTATATGCGCAATCAACGTTTATGCGATTTCCGCTTATATGTTTCCTGGGTGATAACCGGAATCCCTTTGAATCTTCATATTTTAATTACGATCAACCGCATCTGGGCCATCGCCTTCCCGGTTTCGTACCGTAACCGGCATTCTCCGCGGTTAGCCTGGCTTCTTGTCGCGTCGGTGGTGGTTTATGTGCATGTTGTGTGTTTGCCGGGTGTTTTGTTAGATGTGCTATACTATCGAATGCCGCCGGAGAAAGGCTGTTCGATTAACAGTCTGGCGATGCCGCGCTGGAACCAAATGGCCATGCTGCTTATATACGAATTCCCTATTGTTTTCATTGGGATTTCCTGGATTTACTTGCTAGCGAAACAGCGACGGCAAAGAAACACGGTGGCGGCGATAACCATGGCGACAGTGGCGACGAACAATGACGGATCCAATCCTCACGAGCATGCCCACAGCGGGAAGGTGCGGTCAAAGAGGAGACGGTTTACCCGAGGATTTATTGTCTTCTCTACGTTAACGCTCAGCGCGCTTCTGTGCTGGACACCATATGAGACGTATTATGTTATCTGGGCGTTTGTGGATTTGAATGAAACGGATCGACGCTTTATTATGTTGTGTCTGGGATTGTACTTAATCCAACCGGTTCTGGATCCCATTCTCATTGTGCTAACTATGCCGGATTTGCGGTGGACGATTAAGGGGATTTTGAGTAAACTGACGTCGGTATTTACCCGGACATGAAGGTCACCAGACTTTCCCTGTAACTTTTGTACTGTACATTACGGAATGCATTCACAGGCTGTGTATTTCCTATATATACGGAAATTATTCGGGATTTGAAAGAGCTCGGATCGGAAATTTTTGGGATTTGCCGCTTCTCTGAATATACTCTGAAGTTAAACACCGCGTTTATTTTGTAAATTGAAAGATACTTTACGAATAAATTCTCGGTATATTAGCTGCGCCAACAGGTAAAGCGGCACCATTACGTACTATAATTAACGCCTTCGAAAAATAACAGGCTGTCAAATACTCAAAGTTTCTGACACAAAGCGAGGTGAGTTTTCACTCCGCACTAATACGTAGCACTAGAAATTTAGGAGAGTAAAAATTAAAATTGCGGAGCAGAACGAAGAAAACTAAATCGACTTTTGTTGATGACACTGCGAAAATGGTCTGTCACGTTTAGCCTTATGTCCTGCTATCACAAGTGGTCTTATTAGCGTGCAGTGGTGCTCAGGAGGCGAACAAATTTACGTAACCAATTACGGTAGATCAAACCTAATCGACCACCTGGCAGCTGGTAGTTGTGACATCCTTAACATGTAAATATACGAGATCTCAAATCAAATTCCATGCATTATAATCGATGCTTGAGCGTTAAGTAAGTTGGATCTCAAACCATACCCGGACTTTAAAGTCCTGTAAAAGTTTCTGTCATGCTTGGAACACGATACCTTCAAAGCAAACTGCGGTAAGCATATCACAGATTCACAGTTGATTAAATTAGCTGGTCAACCTGTTTATCGTCACGTTCGGCAAATCACAGTAGAAAAATTTCTGCAACGACTAACGACGTTACCTGCACAGGTACAACCTCCGCAATACAGACGATTTATTTGCCATGCCATTTGCAGCACACGTAAAGTACATATTGCCGGTTGGATCTTGTCAGACTCTATCGTTTCGATACCGTCATAATTATATACATCAGCTTCATATATACATATACATCAGCTTCAATTAAAAGGGCCGAGATAGCGGCAGACACTAAAGATGAATTATACAAATTCTACTAAAATTTCGGGTGCCTCTTTATGGACATCGGACGTGATCCTTACCGCCGTCTGCAGTATCTTAGTATTCATTTTAAACTCCTCATTAGCCTTAGCCTTTTTGCTCCGACCAGCGTACCGCTCATCCTTTACCGCGTATCTCGTGGCGCTGCTGCTGTCCAACACCGTCTCCAGTATTCACGGCTGCTTGAGCGTCATCAAAAAATGCTATCCGTATTTAATGCTAAGCCATCGTTTGTGCGATTTTCGGCTATATGTTTCCTGGGTGATCACGGGAATTCCGCTAAACCTTCACGTTCTTATAACTTTTAACCGGTTATGGGCCATGGCCTTCCCGGTATCCTACCGTAATCACCATTCCGTCAAAACCTCGTTACTTCTGGTGCTGATGACGATCATTTATGTGCACGTTACGTGTTTGCCGGGTGTGATACTTAATGCCTTATACTATCGTTTACCAGCGGAGAAACACGGCTGCAATATCAACGACATCGATTACTCTATGCGGCAGTGGAATCGCACCGTAATGCTACTGATTTATCTATTCCCGGAGATTTTTATGGCGATCACGTGGATATACTTGTTGTTCATCCAGAGAAGACGTAGTATTAAAATCCGCAATGCTAGCAACAGGATGCGGGCGTTGACGCAGAATGGAACTATTGATGCCGATGAACCCATGAAGCAGCCGGTTAACGACAAGTCGAAGCGCTATAGTAAAGGATTTCTGGTATACTCGGCTTTGACGATTAGTGCGATTGTCTGCTGGACGCCGTACGAAGCGTATTATACGGCGATGGCGTTTGTCGATCTGAGTGAAACGCATAAGCGTTTTGTTAGCGCTTGTCTGGTACTGTATTTAATACAACCGGTTCTCGATCCGATTCTGATTGTACTAACTACCAAGGAGCTGCGTAAAAGCCTTAGATTATCCTAGATAAATGCCTTACGGTAACAGACGGTTTTTATAACTGGCAATCGTAACCGTTATGGGACCCTAACCGACAGTTGTTTACTTATCTACTTTGCTCGGTATCTCTTTAATTGCAGGGTGGTTACTGCACCGCTGCCAGTACGTACGGCTACAAGCTTTTCTTATCAGCTTGTTTGGAAAATCTCTGTATCAGTTTCATTAAGATGTCCTATATCATTCTAATGTACTAACAGATGGGACGGTAGATGTGGTAAACCGCAAAAAGTAAAGAAGCAACAGATGTCACAAGGTTTTGTCACCTTGAAAACTTGCACCGGTTTCACAGTTCACTTTCGCATCACGTATACAAGTGAAATTAGTTGCGGCATAAAACGCTGTTGCACTTGAGCTTTATACTGGATTTTTGGTGCTCGTTTCCCGTACATAAACTCAGCTGTACAATCTGATGGAGCCGCTACAGCACCTTTGAGTACGTATTGCTCTACTGAAAGTAAGATGTGTAGTACACGTTTTGCGGCTAAAACTCGTACGTAAGACAGCTAAGTACTTATCACATCCATAAATTACTTACTAATTACCAAACGATACAAACCAAACCGCTTATTAACGATACGAACATAGCACCGCACAGGCGGCATAGTTACTTTGTTTTTCGTTGCAGAGTACTTTATCTAATTACCGGCACTAATGTTTCATTTTTCACACTTCCCTAAAATCATCGCAACTATAAAGCAGACAGCGATTTCCACAGCAGTAGACTACTATTATAGAGGCGATCTACATAATAGCAGCCAAAATATCCTCTAACTTTGCAGTCGGTCACCGGTGGAGCTGTCCCGGGCTAGATGCTGCGTTTCTTCGTTGGATTTCTATCCTGATCGGCTGACGCAAAAACAGTTACTTTATTTTGATTGTAGTACGAGTACTATTAATTTTCTCGTGTTGCCTGGCACCGATAACTATATGAATGCAGTGGAAACCAATAATGCTATTGTACTTACTTAGTTCTGCCTGTGCAAATTTCAAAATTTCTGAAGTACTAATACTTTCTGTAGGGTAGAATTCTTGCATCAGTTTCATGCGCTATGGGCTGACACAAACACTACCAGCTCTGTATTACAGTACTCCAACTTCAAAAATCGGTGCATCTTCTGACCCTTGAAATTTTGCGTGCACTTTGCCATACTTGCATTTATTTCGCAGTGGTATTCATGTTATTTGTAGTTTTCCAAGGTTGTACTCTGTACTCAAAAAATATTTTGTCCCTAATTGTGTAAAACTCTGACATCGAACCAAATTCATCAGAAACTCGATCCGGCAGAATTAAAGCAGCTTAAACATTTTTCCTATACTTCTAGTTATTATACATGACCGCGTGTGGTACGGCAAGTTTTCTTATCGGAATGTTTCGGGGTGTACCATGCTGTTGTTATATGTTATGGATTCTCGCACTGCAACTACAAGGTAATATCAATCGTATTAATTTTATATTTTTGTAGTTCCTTTTTTTGAAGCAGCCATATATTGCGCAACCTGTGGGGGAAATGTAAGCACAACGATCACGAATTAGCATTTAGCGGTCCATGCATCAGCAGCCGGTAACAAAACCGAAACGCCCGAATGTATATTTTCGGGCCTGATGACTACTAAAATTTAGTAGTCACCGCGCTCGAAAATGATACATTCGGATTTAGATCACTTAATGTTCTAAATCCGATGGAGTGCGGCAACGCCGAGAAACTTTAAGCTGCTCAAATCTCCGCTTTGACCTAAGAGCCTCCGAGACACGGGAAACGAGAACCTACGTGGGAAAAATGTCTTGTCGACCCGAACGTTTGTTATCCGCTACGCGCTACAATGTACGTGGAGTGAGAATTTCTGCCCAATTACAGTAATTGTTTTAGTGTCAACCCACAGAAGCTACAATCGTATTGTACGGCGCGTTGTTTATTTTAAATTGCTAGAACGGCGTTTTTTTTGCAGGAGTAAAATCGCTTGAATGCTATAGGTGCATGCACGACCAGCACCCGTTACCGGATTGGTGCGTGACAAACAGGCATGATGAAGTGGATGCATGTTCTGATACTATTACAACTTGCGTCATTGCGGGCGGGATCCGACAGATACCAGACCGCAAGCCGGTAGCGTTCGGTAAGTTATCTTTATTTTAACTAACATGTGAATCTAAATTGCTAGAAATAAAGCAATATCTCGAGCCTATGAAAAATTCCTTTTTGAAACGCTTCTACCGTAAATCACAGGAAAAACGACAGCTACCAGCGTTCGTTTTGGTATCGCCCATTACCCGATTACTTACATTATATTAAAAGCAGCATATTACCGTTACTATCGAAATATACAATATACCCCCCAGTTATTGGAGGCCCACTCAAGGTGGTCAAATATAAATCCAATCGAGTAGTGATGTACCGTATAACGGCAGCCCTTCTAATAATTCGATTCCTAGGTGGGTAACTTTTATCTCGATTCCTAGTTCGATTCCTAGGTGGGTAACTTTTATCTCATAAAATCAATCCAAAAAAAGTATAAAATTTTCAAAATTAAACAAAAAAATTTTCCAATAGCCAAAACACCAAAAAACTTTAGGGTTAAAGTCTCCTTTAATAATTTTAATAGCTAAAAAGTTTTAATAATAATAATAATAATAATAATAATAATAATAATAATAATAATAATAATAATAATAATAATAATAATAATAATAATAATAATAATAATAATAATAATAATAATAATAATAATAATAATAATAATAATAATAATAATAATAATAATAATAATAATAATGCGTTTACCGATGTATCGTATTTTACAGCGCCAGCAGTGGGCAGATCGTGTTCATTCTCCTCTGACGCTAGAGGCGATACTAAGATTTGGAATACCATGGCGAAAGGGCAGAAGATGCTCTGTTATGAGATTGTGCGCGACGGCATGCCTGGCCCGACGGGTGTGCCGATAACCGATCGCCGATGCATCTGCGCGGAAGACAAATGCAATGAGTTAGGGTGGGACAGATTAATGCAGCAGCCTGTTTTACCGGTACAGTAATGGCATAATATGATTCCATTACACCGCTGCGAAATCCGTAGTTAATACGGTAGTAACGGGCTAGTGTGCTTATGTAGGCGAACTACTCAAACAACGATGTGGTAAAGCCCAAACCAGGGAATTATTCGCTGGCCGCATTACAAGACGTACTGAATTTGAATTTTGCGTCACTTGGCACTGATATCGGCACCGGCGGCAACACCGCCACTGCCACCACAAGCAGTTCGACCGGCAGCATCTCCGGCGTGCCAACAGATGCAACCGAAAATTCTACGGCCGTTTCCGCCAACAACTCAAGCAATGGCGTTGCTAGTACTGCCGGTGACTAAACTTTTTGACCTGTTTCCTAAACGCAGAAGTATCAGTGTTTAATTTGTTTGTTGTTGTTACCTGTTTAAGCAAAATCTGGCTGCTTATCAAAACTTGAAGGCCCAGCGACAGATCAACAAGATAGCTGTTCTGACTTGAACTTTGTAGGTGGGAGCGGATCCAGCACGGGATTGATTGCTGGGATCGCAGCCGGAGTTGTAAGTCGTACTTTCGTTCAGACATATAAGCAGACGTAGTAGGGCTTAATAATCAGTGCTTAATATAACTGTAGCGATTAATTTGAACCCTTTAATGAGTATTTTACGACTGCAGGCTGTTATTACATTGTTCAGGTAATTTTGGCTGCACTAGCCGGAGGTTTGTGGTATTGGTTCAAAATTCGCAAGCGAAAGGACAGTACAAGCAGCGCCGCCACAGAAGCCAGTAATACTGAATCTGGTGACAGTGGCGGAGACGATTAAGTATGCGTTGGACGTTTAAGCCCAGCCTTAATCTGCCAGCAATAATTCCATTCAGATCTGTGTCTTGTGTGTAATTTTGCGGTGTGTAAATTCTTGTTGCTCTTTGATCTGGGAGTTCATTCCTTTCATTCCGTTACATTGCGGCACATCATAAATAATTATTGTTAAAAGTGGTTCACCATTGTTATAAACGTGTTGCGAAAGCTTCCCACTGAAGCAATGGTCCGTACTTCGGTAAAGGCATCGGTGCGTCCCAGTTACGTATGCTTGTGTGACGCGATTTTCGTCGGTTTGACCTTTTCATTGCGTGTGTTTGAGCTTGTTATGCGGCGGTGTTATTTTTCGTAACCCCGCGACGCTAACTGCATTTCCCATAGCAATCGTAGAAGGCTAGCTTTTGGATTCGCAAAGAAAAACGTACGTGTCATACCGGTCACAACTCGGTATGTATTCTTTATTCGGGAAAATTGTCAGTTCAGTTGTGCAACATCCATGCAGTTCCAGCATAAATAACACAGCGGCTAATGTCGAATCGCTACTCGAAATTCGGACCTCATGGAAGCTTATGTTGCAAATAGCTATTTAAGGCGTGTGCATTGTCATTGTGCACACTTTCTAGTCATTATTTCTGCCACACCTATAAAGAAATTTGAGTAACCCAACACGAAGTGACAGGCTTATAATTCTGGAGGCTGATGTACGCAGACACAAGGCCGCTATAACAGCCAGCCATTCGTTGGCTCAGTAAGAGTATCGCCGTAATCCGTGAAATAAAAAGTTCACGAGAATAACGCCACAACGTGTTACTATTGTGTCGTGCTACCGCCAAAATTTCCCTTTGTGCTATCTTCTGCATAATTATACCGAACATTCTCAGCGTGTTAGTTAAGTTCACCTTCAAATTACCTGGAAAATGACTTTTGCTGTTAAGCCGCACTCCAGCATAACACCCACCGGCTTTATCAGCCGGATCTACGGAATCTGTATGACGGTTTTGTGGATAATGGGATTCAGTCAGTTTCCCCAAGAAGTATTCTCCACCGGTCCGTTTGTAACGGCAACCGCTACCGCTTTTGGCGTCGCACAAGCAGCAGCGAATTTAGCCAGCCAAGTATACTATATGACTTTCGACTCCGTACCGTTGACAAAAAACCACAGTTTTAATGACCTAATTAATTACGCGTTCGAAATTGTGTATTCGATCGTTCTGATGTTCGCTTGTCTGATTGGATGGAAGACTGTGCGACCGTCTTACAAGACAGTCAATACCATGACTGCGCAGTTTGCGCATTATATTCCGGCCCGCGTACCGCGCAATACCCTCTTTCTTCTCGGTGTGGCGCTGGCGTTTAACATCACCGGAACCGTATTCGACATAATGCAGAACGATGTCCCTCTGTACAGGGGCGCGGGAACAGCCAGATGCCGCTCCACCAGCTGTTTTGTCTTGATCGCCGTGTATTATGCTTACTGGCGCGTATGTTATTTCTCCAAGATGCTCTTACAAACTTTGATATGGTTCACCATGATAACGCTGACAAGATTGGCTCGTGTTGTTAGCGCTGATGTCGGCGCTGACAAAGACGGTCCAGCCGACACTGTCCTGTCCATTAAGCGCTACGAGTACATTCGACACCATGTTATACAAGTCGGAAAACAGTTTTCCATGTTCAATTTCCTTTATACTCTGCATTATTTTGTCTTATTGCTGACAAGTGCGTACTTTCTTGGCAAGGACTACGCAGAAACTGAGACGATCGATTGGTCCGATTTTTATTATTTTGCCCGCAGTGCGTTTGTTTTGGCAACTATCGCAACGGTATTCGTTACCTGCCACGAAAATGTAAGCGACTAAATACAATATCCTTAACAGCCGTAAGAAAGACTTAGGTTATCAAGCAAGCAAAGCCAAAGCACAAGTATTCCACGTAAAATGGTGACCTTTGTCGCAACAGATGACAGCAATTCTTCCAGTGCTACGCAAACTTAGATCTGAATTTGGGAAGAGCTTCGGAGCAGTAAAATTCCAGCAGCTGGCAGAAAAGGTACAGAGCAACCCTCTTGGCTTTTCCATGGGAGGAGTTACCATTACTTTTGAATTGTGTTTCGAGGTAAGTGATACATAAACAAAATGGCTGGCTCTTTTATTTTGTCTATCTGAGTTGCTAAAAAGGAGGCGCTCTAATCCAAAACTAATAAATAATTTTAACAGGCAGCTGGCATAATATTTGCGAACGTGGTGCTTTTTGCTGAACTCGGGCACGAGAATCGAATGCCGTCTCCTGACTGGTTCCTGGACAGCTTTGAGGCGGTTATGAGAAATCAGTCTGTTGTGTTTTCCTAAAATAAAGAACTGTGGAATCTTTGTCCCTGTGTCACGGCTACGTGCATTTTTTATTTGTGACTATCATTTTCGCCCGGCGCAATAATACGGTAACATGATTGTACTGATGTGATAAGGTTAGGTAAAACAGATCGGAAGACGGGATCAAGTCTGGTAGGTATGTACTGTATGTTCTCAAATTGTGATTGCTTAACTACGTAAGACGTAAAACTGTCACCGGTTACCGGTAAGAATAATCTGCTCGTATTACGTTACCCATGCAGATGCCGGCATTAGCGTGGGTGATTCCGTTTATTTATGTTCTTCAAAACAACTACGAAAACAAATTCAGCATGATGAATGGTAGGTAAGTGATGAATGGTAGGTAGGCTATGTAAGTGGTTGCATGACTTTGCATCTGTCAAGGATAAGAATTTTGAAAGAACATTCAGCACCTATTATTAGTTATCAAAGCTTTTCATTAATTAGGAGTGGAAATTTTAAAACAGATGTTTTCCGTTGAAACTTCAACGAGTTTGCGCAGTCCATCAGCGCCCAGTGGCAGTGGCATGTCCAAATATGTAGTTACAACATACATGTTAGGTCGTTTTGCCGTTTACAGGCTTTTACTGAGCTTCGTAACAAATATGCAAATTTGCTGTTTCTCTGTAGAAAACAAATTAAACCGCGCTGCCGCCAGCACTAACCTTCGTTTATCATGTGTCCCTGCCACGTTTCGGTCAAGCCCTCCAAAAATGAGTGCACTTTCCTCGTTTCCTGTTTTTATCGGTTACAAATGCTACCAGAAAGTTGTGCTCATTATGTTGTGCTTTGCCGGATAAAAAGGCTCAAGTCAGAGCGCATTAATTTTGATCGCTCATCTTAACGTTAGCGTAGCTGTATACCCATTGGGAAATTATTCAGAACGCAAATTAATGCCGGCGGCAATTTTCAAGAACTTTCTATCAACATGCTAATTATAACCTCTTACTCTTTTCTTGCGTATCAGATTGCGAGGTTAACCACCTAACAAGATCCTTTGGCAGGGACATTTATTTTCGAACCTATATATAGTATTGTACATTTTCTGACACAACTCAAAGGAAATTTGAGAAACCTAACACATGACTGGTTGGCGTGGCAGCTGATGCAAATATTTTGTAAGTTTTTTGTTTGGTGAATCACGATTGGCATCATTCGTGGAACTATAACATCACGTCAGTACAGCTAACAACGTCTCGGTATCATGCACTGATGCCTCGGAAACTCTTTCGACTTAGACAATTTTTCTTCGGTAATCAGGAACATTGTATCTGCTCGTCCGCTAGATGAACACTTTAACGAACTTATCAAGTTATCAAGGATGACTTCTATAAATGCATCGCACAACGATGTACCGTCCACCGGTTTTATCAGCCGGATATACGGAATCTATATGACGGTTCTGTGGATGATGGGATTCAGCCAGTTTCCTCAGGAAGTTTACTCCACCCGTCCAATGCTGACGGCAGCCGCTACCGTTTTCGGAGCCGTACAAGCAGCAGCGAATATTATCAGTCAACTGTATTTTATGCTCTTTGATTCCGCGCCGTTGACAACGGAAACTAGTTTCAACGATCTGATTGAATACGCGTCTCAGATTCTGTACTCGTTTGTAATGATTTACGCTTGTCTAATTGGATGGAAAACTGTTCGACCGTCGTACCAGTTGGTTAAGACCATCGATACGCAATTTATCCATCATATTCCTGCACGTGTGCAGCGCAGCGCTCTGATTGTTCTGGGCGTGGCATTAGTGGTCAACATCAGTGGAACCGTTCTCGATATTGTGCTGAGCGATGTTCCTCTGTATCAAAGCGCGGGAACGGCCAGTTGTCGCTCTAAGATCTGTTTTGTATTGATTGCCGTGTATTATGCGTACTGGCGCGTATGCTTTTTTTCCAAAATGTTTTTACAAATTTTGTTGTGGTTCACAATGATTATGTTGACGAGGTTGGCCCGTGTTGTCAGCGTTGAAGCTGACGCTTTCAACGGCACAAGTCCAGACTTCGTTGGTCTGTCCATAAAGCGCTACGAACACATTCGCCAACAAACCATGCAATTCGGAAAACAGTTTTCTGTCTTTAATTTCCTGTATACTCTGCATTATTTCGTCTTGTTGCTGACAAATTCGTATTCTCTTGGCAAGGACTATGCGGTAACTCAGACGATCGATTGGTCTAACTTCTACTTTTTTACCCGCAGTGCATTTGTACTGGCAACTATCGCAACGGTATTTGTTACCAGCCATGAAAATGTAAGCTGCTGAGCGTAGCATCTACAGATATATTACAGTAGCCTGGTTTATTGAACATCATTTGCTATATGCTGCCCCAATATTTGACCTATCTCTACATTTGTGATTCGAATGCTAAAATAAACTGATTGCCTTTTATCGTGACAGATGACAGCAGTTCTTCCAGTAATAAGCAGACTGATATTTAAATATGGGAAAAGCTTCAGATCAGCTAACTTTCAACAGTTGGCGGACAAGGTTAAGAATGATCCTGTTGGCTTTTCCATGGGAGGGGTAACCATTACATTTGACCTATGTTTCGAGGTAAGCGATAAACAAACAAATTATAGTGTATTCTTATGTCTATTTGAGTTGATTCAAAGGATATCTCCATTGTAAAACCACTTTTAACAGGCGGCTGGCATTATATTTGCTAACGTGGTGCTTTTTGCTGAACTGGGACACGAGAACCATCTTCTTACTGGTTCCTTGAAAGCTTTGCGACAGTTATCAGGAACCAGTCGGCCGGTTCCTTGGTAATATAAGGAATGACTGAAATTCTTGTTACTGCTATTCGGTATCTAGTTTTAACTCGGCATTTTCTGGTGCAATTAATATACAGACACGGTTGTTCGAACGTTTTTTAAACTCTTTTTGCATATGCATATCACAGACAACGGGTTATTTAAAAGTTTGGTTCTGTGTTTTCAAAAGTTGCGATCGCATTGAGTTGTACGATTCAAATACAGATGAATTGTTTTTATCGGCAACATCACGACAAAATGTTAAGACTGCGTCACTGCTGCAATGTACCGGCATTATGGTGCACGATTTCGTGTGGTTATGCAAAACAAAAACTAGAAATAATGTCTAACATAATATTAATGTGAGTGCATGGACGGTTTTTTGCATGCCGCATACGAGCTGTTGACAGTGATATTTCGAAAGAACATTTATCATTAAACTTAATCGGTAGTTTGGAGTGGATGTTGGAAAAATATGCTTTCTGTGAAACCCGAAGGAAATTTGAGGAGTCCATTTCCGGTTGACGGGTTTAAATGACAATCGTTGTTGGTGCACACCATGAGCACACTTCGGACATTCGACTCCGCTGCTGGTTCAGTAATGTCAAGTTCTGTCAAACAAACGTACAGATATATAGAATTACATCAATAACGCGCCCGTATTATGCGGTGGACCAGCGGAAACCGCTCAAATCAAAAAATGCTTAGCGTTGCGATCAGGAATTCGGTATAAGCGAATTAGCTGATTATTCCATCTGTTTGATTCGTTAATATTTAGAGAGCAATGACCCTTACCAATAAAATGCACAAAAACGCTCCAGCTACCGGCTTTATAAGCCGGATCTACGAAATCTTGATGACAGTATTGTGGATAATGGGATTCAGTCAATTTCCTCAAGAGTTGTTTTCTACTGGTTCGCTGCTGACGGCAGCGGCCAGTTCATTCGGACTCGTACAAGCCGCAGCAAATGTAGCCAGTCAGGTGTGCTACATGGTATTTGATACCGTAGCGCTGGGGAGAGCCACTAGTTTCCACGACATCTTTGGATACGCGTCCAACACTCTTTATTCCATTGTCCTCATCTATGCGTGCCTGGTGGGATGGAAAACCGTCCGGCCGCATTACCAACTGGTTGCGACGACAGAGGCGGAGTTCGGCTATTATATCTCGGCACGAGAGAAGCGTAACGCTGTCTATCTTCTCTGCATAGCTGTGATGTTTAACCTAAGTGTAACAGTTACAGATATTGCGCTCATCGACGTGCCTTATTATCTTGACATGGGAACGAACAGTTGCCGCTTGAGAACATGTTATATCTTGACTGCTGTGTACTATGCGTACTGGCGTATATGCTTTTTAAACAAAATGCTTCTTCAGACTTTGATATGGTTTACAATGATTATGTTAACGAAACTGGCTTCTTCGATCTGCGCTAAAGCGGGCACCGCAGCTTGTGTAACCGACGCTGTTCTGTCCATTCAGCGATACGAGCATATTCGGCAAAACATTATGAAATTCGGGAAACAGTTCTCCACCTTCAACTTTTTATATACCTTGCATTACTTTGCTTTATTGTTGGTGTATATGTATTCCTTGGGGAAGTCCTATGCGGATACCCAGACGGTTGGATCGTCCGGCTTCTACGTCATTGTTCGGAACATGGCCTCACTGGTGATTGTTGCTGTGGTTTTTGTAACGTGTCACCGAAACGTACGTGTAGCATCACTTTTAAGCAATATTTGCCAGTATCAGTGGCTTAATCGCAGTATTTGGCTAAGATTTTAGCTTTCCTTTGCTATTATTAAATTGCTAATAGTTCGTTAAAGGAAATAGTCAGTAGTCAGTACACAGTACAGGGTACCAAATTCGTGTGCCTATATGGCAAGTTTTGCTTTCGCGCACTCAACTTTTTTTCCCAATACTTTTACAGGAATTCAACCTTTTTTCGAATTTGAAAGTGGATCTCGAGAAACCTAAAGAACAATTTAATTTTGAGGTTTTTATGCGATTTTTATTTCTCGTAAGGTAACTATCCTCGCGCATCATTTGCGCGCAAAGAACAGCGGAAATGCCTTATATTATGGAAAATGATTTTTATAATTATTACGTAGATGGTCGCTGTACTTCCAACATTGCGCAAGTTTGCATTCAAGTACGGGACTGAGTTCGGAAATTTTGACCAGTTAGCACGGAAAGTGAAAGAGGATCCGATGGGTTTCTCCATGGCTGGGGTCGTCATTACGTATGAAATCTGCTTTGAGGTACACGTACCGCGTAATTTCAGTGCCTGCAGTTTTAAGATATCACTTTACGATATAATTATCAGGAAAACGATATCAGTTATTATTTCTGACCAACCGATTTCAACAGGCAGCCGGGACCATATTTGCCAATGTGGTACTATTTGCTGAACTTGGACACGAAAACCGAAAGCCGTCTGTTAACTGGCTTCTTAAGACGGTTGATCGGACTTTCCAGAATCAGTCGGTGTATTTTTATACATGACGTTATACGTAGAAGACAGGAACAAATGATGTCTAAAGCCAATCTTCCTGTTAATCAATCATGTAATTTCTTCCATGGGAATCTGTGCAGATTTTATTTTATTTGCCTTTCTTTACACAAGTAATGGATGATTTCGCAAATGTCTTGACTGTAACTGAACGATTACGTTGCGCACAGCAACAACATTATTTTAGTCACAAATTTGACAACCACCGGACGCGAGAAGTTCGGGAACCGATGTTTCTGCTCACTGTTAATGTTTGACTTAGCGATTTTATGAGTTTAATCGGTTCTTTACATAAGTAAATGAAACAGAAAACTAGGCAGTAAATCACTTCAGTACGTAATACACTTCGTCCAACCTCTTACCGATAATGAACGTTTCCTGTACACAAGCAGCATTGCCTCGCATTAAAGCAATACTGATTCTCTGCTTCAGAAACTGAGTGGACCGTTTCTCCTGTGTTCGCTCAAAAAGCATCTTACCGAGTGTAGACATTTTACATTTCGATTCTTTAACTTAGTGTTTGATGCAGAAAGGTGTGCCTTATCTGGTTGCTACTCTAGTTTTGGCATTGTGCAGCTGAATAAATGACAAACGCTGAAAACCACAATTCGCTATGGTGATTTGAAGTGCGTTTTCGTAACGGGTAGGTTCGTCACAACCTATCATTTGGAATGAGTCAGCACATGATTGATTGTCAAATTATCCCGAATGTAACCAGAGCGTGTCAGACTAGCCCACCTATTACCTAACCAGGGTCGGGACGTAATGAAGGATTTTACTACAGTAATAAAAAAAAATAAAATTGTTTAGACATTATCGGGATTATTTTTTTAAATCTGAACTCAATTTTTAAGCAAAATTAAGTAAGTGCGCATTTGCTAAATTGCTATTTGTATTTGTAATGTTTTTTCTCAAAGCACCGGGTAGCGGGATAGTGATAACGGTATACCTCAAAGGTCTACCGTAAACAAAATTGATCTGGCACGTGATATACTTCTATCAAAAATTGCAAACATAATTGAACTCACAGAACGCGCCGAAACCTAAACTGCCTACGGACAAAAACGTCGGCCAGGAAAGATGACTAGCCAAGCCTTTAATTATAAAGTACGGTCTGTAATGTAATTACTAATTAGAGGCTGCATTACAGTGTACGTAATTTAAACCGGTTTAAATTACGTACACTGTAATGCAGCCTCTAATTACGTACACTGTAATGCAGCCTCCTTATACATGTGTTACTGGCTCTGATGATCACGGTACCGTCATCATCAGAGTCAGTAACACATGTATAAGGCGTCAGAAAAATAATATCAAAATTTGTTGTATATTCCTGTTCAAGTAAATTCGTTAGCTTATTGCACCGCACGGCACATTTGTCCCAAAAATCGTTGTGCGAAACATGTCGACCGCGAACTTCTCCAATCTGACTTCCGAGTTGGCAAATTTCACGCGACCGCGATTGGTCAGCCAGCAGGAACTGTATGCATGGTTCACCGTAACTATAGTAGTCGGCGCTATTGGCGCAATATTTACCTGTTGTCTGCTGATGATTATGATCGTTCTCAACAAATTCCAAACCGGCTCCGGCATCATGATCGCCCACTCGCAAATTGTCGACTTCATTATCTGCACAATTCTAAACATTGTACAGAACGCCACCATCCTGCAAGTGCAGAGTGGGCGGTTCACGCCCATAGACTGCCGCACGGTGCAGTTTCTGCAAATGCTGTTTGTCTTTGTTGGCAACTGGTCAGCGGTGTTCCTGGCGGCCAATCGATTCGTCGCCATTGTCATGCCATTCTACTACAAAAAGGTTTCATAATTTTTTGTGTGCCTTTATATTCGTTTCTATTTGAATTGCGCTATATACAATAACGCTATACACGTTGGAATTGCGCTAGGTAAATACAGTTTAAGGAAACATATACATATTGCGCTATGTACGCTATATTGGGATATATTGCGCAATATTGATATTCGTTGCAATTGCGATATATACAATTTGGGAAATACGTTGGTTTTAACGCATAATGCGCAACGAACGCTTCTCTGTTCGAGACGTACTATATTTGTTGCTTTTACCAATAGTTATTTAGCGACAGGCTGATAAGCCCATTTCCACTTTTTCGATGCTACCGTGTATGTGGCGCAAAAAGGTATGAGAAACTGGTTTCATCATGTGACCAACGTGTATGTCGGCTACTATACTATTAAATATCTATATTTAGTCATCTGGTTGGTTTACATTATCCGGCGGTAAGACAATAATTATAAGTATTACTAACGCCTGGAATCGCAAACGCAGCACAAATTATAAAACCGTTTGATATGTTAAAGGTTACCACGCACTGGACCCTGGCACTGAGCTTGCTCACGGCATGGGCGATTTCCTTAGGATGCAGTTTACCGATGTACCTTAACTTCAACGTGGTGCTAGGAATGCAACCCACCGGTGCGTGTGGCACGTTAAAAATCACCGGGCCATTTTTCGGCATCATGGGTTTCGTGTCCACGTACCTGCCCATCGCACTATTGGGAGTGCTCTACATAACGCTATTTCTCCTTCAAAAATTCAGCCGGTTTACTGAACGTTACCGGACTGAACCATCCGAACGTCAGCGGGAGTCGCATCGGCGGCGTATTGCCTTGGCGAAAGTGCTGTTTTGTTCATTTCTGTGGTATTGTCTGTGTATGCTGCCGCCACCGATTCTGATTAACTTTTATCCGGATGTCTGGCGACGCGAATTCCGTTTACTCATGTGGACGCGCACCTTGCTGATGGTTGGATACGCGGTTAACCCGGTAAGAATAAGATGAAGGCGATATTTCGTATAACGCGGACCTAGCCGAATTGCTTTTCTTTCACGAATAATTTCGTATACTGTGCATACAATAACTAACCCAGTACCGAAATAAGGTTGTGATAATAATAATGCAATTGTAATATTCTAGCATAGATTTTAGATTGGTTGCAAAATTATCCCACTTGATTTTTGTGTGCCATTTTTAATATTTGAAAGTATCTCTAATGAAAGTGTTCGTTTTACTTTTTTTGATTATGCCTGGTTACGGATTACAAATTCTTTGTACGTTGTCCCCTACTCTACCAATATAATGCCTTTTTTCAGTTATTCTTTGTCGCAATGAGCCAAGAATACAGAAAGGGTGGTCGGGTATTACTCAGCCGGATGAGAAAGTGCTGCATCAAGAAAGCGGAAATTGGGCCCCACCCGGCGGAATATCAGCTGTCCGTCAACTCTTCTTATTTACCGAAATCTATTACTGGCACTGATTAATTAATTAATGGCTGCCAGACTCGCCACCATAGAATCTGATTTGCTGCATTTTTGTTGCATTATGTACAGTATACTTGTGCTCTCTTACATACATTTGCTTTCCGAAGCTTTTCCCCACTGTATAAAGTACGTTATTGATTGCTGTCAAAGTTAAAAATTTCGGTTTATGCCAATAATAAAGGCCTATAATAAACCACAAATCGCATTTTATAGCGTATAATTTATTATTTTTCAAAACGGCATTTTTTTAATAAACCAGAAAACGCATTTAAACAGGTTCGCCACTCCTGCAGAGTGTGTGGCCATTGCAAAACTTATCCTATTTTCCCGGCAATGGTGAATGGTATATGTTGCTAGGAGTGGGACCATAGAAAGCGCAATGGTCAGAGTGGTGCAGTGGATGCTGAACAGCATGCACACATAAATTGTGTCCATCTGACGTCAACATCTGTACGATCGATCGACATTTTCAAAGCTACAACCATACAATCGCGATGGAAGTATTGATTTTTCAGCTCGGGTTTAAAATTCCAGTGTACGTTACAGTAAGCTTGCTGATGTTACGGATCGTCTTTTGCATCCTTGGAAGGTGTTTAACTTAAACCAGCCGACAAAAGTAAAACATTTTTTTGCAAGTAGAAGTCTGGCTGCGGACAGTAGTTACACATTTGGCTTACCAAATACATACTAATTATTACTTATTATCTGATTTTCTGTGCGGTATAACGGTGTTAGCATCATGTTACCAGCAAAAATCGGGAGTCCTATCAAGACGGATTTCATCTCATCACTTGATATATGTTGGTGGGGAGAACATGGCAGATTCGTGGTGGACTTCATCACCAACGACAATACACTGGCCCGAGGTTACGTTTGTGATGTGAACAAACAAGGACTTCTGATAACATCTCGACTATGGGATACAACGTCGCAGCTGGCCCCGTTTAACCGCATCATAGCACAGCCGACAGAACTACGAGAATTCCGCCGTGGGATGATCAAAGACCTCTGGCATACATGGGCTAAGCTTCCGATAGAAGTTTTGATGAGCGCTGGAAACGGTCGGCCGTTACAGTGTGAGTGGACCCATGCGGAAATTGCTGAAGAAGACCGACAGCAACATCCCAGAAGCTTTTCTGTGGAGGCTATTACACATCCAGGTGAAAACACCAGATGGCACCGATCAGCAGTACCTGATTAATGACCATTGTGCCTACCCTGCAGATTTTCAACTCAGCCAGCGAATACGCTACCTAATTCGCCGATTTCCCAACACGAAACCTAACACATTTATGAAGACGTCTGTTTTTCTTTCACGTGATTGCGCCCGTACATTACGCCAGTGCTTACTCTCTAGAACGTTCCAACGCGGTTTCCAGTGGCGGCCGGTGCCTTGAAAAGTCGCAAACCATGATGGTGGCAGTGCATTATTGCAGCATTGACGTGCTCAGCCGTGGACCGCTCAGCAAAGCGGCCCAGCTACAATTAACGACCTTTTTACATGAATATGTTGGTGTGTGGACGTGCCCAGAATATTTATACTGGACCATCCCCGATGTAACGTCATTGACCAAGCGCCTCAGCAGATATCGTTCGGTTTGCAGCAGATAATGATGGTAAGACTTTGAACCAAGCATATTGTATGGTATTCCGGTTTTTGTTCTACAGTATATCTTATGGTTATTTAGGCAGCCTTTATAGTATAGTCTGCATAGATATGCGTGAGCACACTTCCCAGCTCTCTCAAATTTTTATGAACCTCTTCAGTAATAATTTTTCGAAACTTTTATGTAATTTTTATTTTTTTATAATTGCGGTTACATAATTTTTATGGTAGGTTGTTCGACTGGCAGCTTGGCAAGTTTCTCGGAAATGTCTTCCTCGGTGAAAGCGTCGGTATTTTCTAACCTCGACATTTACGATCGGAATATACTGAAAAGGTAAGCGTCCCAGTAAAATTTTGTAGCACAACCAACTATCTAAGAATGCTTTTCGCGCCATAAACATAGTGTTAAATAAATCTTCAGCAGATTCTAAAATTTGTTTCTTCGGACAGTCGCGAAAACACTAGTCGGGGTGCTTTCTCGACTGTCCGAAAAAACAAAATTTCCGAATCTGCTGAAGATTTATTTAACACTTTATTTATGGCGCGAAAAGCATAGTCGATAATATACGGGTATGTGTTCTGCAATGACAGAGTGGATTCGAGCTGGTCATCCATTAGGGACTTCCTCTGATGCAGCAAGACATCATATTTGCAAATCCAATGGCTAGCAACTACAACGAATAACTATCCGAACTTCCTCATCAAATGCAGATGTCGCTGACGCCGAATACAAAAACTGTATATTTAACGGGGCCATGGCAGTCACCCATATCAACACTAGTCCGTGTGCTTTCTTGACTGTCCATCAGACTGCATTACGTTGTCATCCGTCGAATCCAGGCAGACTACGTCTCCGAATTCTTCGAACCGGATCCCCCGGAACCTGGACACTTCTCCGTCGGCGACGTTTCCAAGATATGTCGAACACTGATAATCAACGACTTCCGGTTCCGCAAAAACGGTTGGTGTTGGCTCTTGAGACAGTGCACCCCGATTAACCCGGAATTTCGTGTTTCTGAGTTTATTTACCGCTTTGATTACCAACCCGTGGAGAACTTCCAAGGCGCGCTGTACGAATGCATAAACACCTGCTGCCCAGAAATGGATTCAAGGACATACACCACGTTGTCAGAACGGTTCGCCAAAATCCGTGTATCCGCAAAAAAGAACAAATCCGTAAAGAAATGGTACTGGAAAGAGCTGCTATTATGCTTTACAAGGTACATGCATTACGTATTGTAACGGTTTGGCGAGAGGACAGTACAGTTACCACAACACTACATAGTGTACCGATTACCGAGTGCTACGTGCATAAGTACTGCTGATATTGGTATCCTTAGCTGTAAGTCACAATTCACCCAAATAATTTTGTAAACGTTAATTCCGAAATAGATTTCTATCGAATTATTTAGACTGGTTGATTGCTCTTTTGCAGGCTAAACCTCGAGCCACCGAAGTGTATGTCCGATCTGGAACAGTCTTTTAAGACTTCGTTTAAAGATGTCGCAGGAAGGAACGTATTGCTATTAGCGCTTGCTTCCTGGGTTGCCACGATCGAAAGCGAGTTAAAATATGAACCGCTTAGGCGAACACAATATTTTTGTGGTATTTGTCTTTAGGTGCTTTGCGCGTTCAGTACGTTCCACCACGGAGATTCGAACTTCCTTATGCAGAACAGGATGGCCGACACTGTTCCGCATATATATAAGGTGTTATCGAAATTCCCTATAGAGGGATAACAGCAACCTACAGGCTACAGTACATTCACTGCGTTGTGTAATTATGCATTATATTATTAGAAATCGTTCAGTACAGCAACTTTGCAAATGTTTGCTCGGCGCTGGCAACCGCTGTCAAAAAGAAGGCACGAAATGAAAGTGAGTCTTGTTTTGCAACATGGTGCGATGCGGAAGTGTCTTGTTGATAAGGAAGGTTGGCAGAGAAAGAGCTGTTTCACAGCTTCGCTTAGTTTTTTTTCAATCTTTGAGCTTCGAAATTGTGTAAGGAGATGTGATGAGTGAGTGTACCACGTTAGTTTGGATAAACTTTTTATTTGCTTTGTTTTTGTCTAAGTAGTGCTTTTCCGTATCCGTACATGCAATTTAAATCGGTGCTGCGAGTAACGTAACTGAGCTGATACAACGTCAGAACTCGATCGTTACTACTTTGTGTTTTGTAGCATTGACCTTTGTTGAATAAAAATCTGCGACCTACGAGCGCCGAATTCCGATCGAGTTTACTCTTCTGCGCACGATATATAAGCCATTTTTTGGAAAATTAAGGCTGACAATTTACTCTAGAGTAGAGATGGACTGTAGAGGTGGAGTTTGTTACGAGGATCCCATGAAAAACACGATCAAGGCAATGAATTGGCTTGTACTGTAGTCATCGTCAAAACCATTTTATCAAAATCCACACCATTTTTAAATGCCACAAAAAGGCTACCTGGACTCTCTGTGAGTGAACTGGGCTCAGAGTTTTACCGTTTCTGCACCGTACCTACAGAGCACGCAATTAATGCCTTTTTCGTAAATCGCTTAGCGCCGCATCTTGACGTACAGCATGGTATGCAAATATATTTTCGGACCACAATAATCTCATGAGGATTTAATTATTACTCCACTGCTTACCGTGCCAAAATTGAATAATCTAAAGTTGCTCACCACATTTTATAATTCTGTTTACTTGAAGTTGCGCTAATGAGAAAGTAAGTCGGCCTACGTAGTGTGCAGGTTTTCGAATTGTATGGTACCGCGGGATAATGTGCAGTGTGCATTGTATTGCTGTTGTTCGACCATAATATGTCACCATAGCAAGCGTTGTTTTACCACCTCCTGGTCTGTACATGTACATACAAGCATACAAAGGATGTACATTGTCTTCAAAATTGTCTAGCCGCAATTAAACGATTGTACCATCTGCTTCTGCCCAAATATTTTCTTCGGTTTCGTAGTTTTGTTGTGATTTTGCGAATCCAGCATTACTTTGTCATTCAAAAAAATGCTGTACTTAAAACCACCGCAAAAGGTGCAGAATCACAAGCATTGAAGTAGTAGTAGTGAAGTTTGCATTGTACGAGTATCTTCAAAATCCGCATTCTGCCACTGTATCCAGTAGTACTCTCTGCGAATACCTCTACTAAATTTTTGTGTATTCTTCATGTAATTAATTTTATTCATTGTTAATAGCGTAGCGGCTTACAAGTACGTTACAGCGACAGTATATCCGTTACATATCCATGCGGGATAAATAGTACTCGTACGGATACTGCAGGTGTGCGATGTGTATCCCCTGCATATGTGTACCATGCAGCCTACCCCAGACATTAGAAAACATACGAAAACAACAAAAAGAGAAATAATACGAAAACCTACGAAAACAACAAAAAGTATAAGGAAAAATAATAAAACGTAAAAAGTCTGAGAAATCAAAGAAAATTAATAGGGTACAGTACATGTGTACATGGAGAATCGATACTGTGAGAATATTTATATTGCACTTGTGGATCTGTAGGATGCATGTGCAAAAAATAAGGCACAACCTTGCCGAAAAACCAGCAAAATGTTGGCATGCGTATCACTTTCAACTTTCAAGTACCAACTTAGCGGCTTAGAATGCAAGCATGTTATCGCTTTAGTATCCTAACGTATCATTACTGTTCCCGCGGCGCGTATCCACCTCAAGTATATCCTGTTAATTACAAAGTATTTTAGGTACCTTAGTAATATATATGCGGAGTAAACAATGAGAACTGCAGGAATACAGTGACCGATACGGCAGCGAAACAAAAAGTCGGCTGCAAAATAAGTAGATGGGATGCAAATTAAGGATACGCATAGAGTACACTGTAGGACATAAGAGTGGGATAGTGAGGATACAAGGACTTAAATGGAAGCATGATGTTACAGAGCTATTAAACTTTTTGACATGTGAACTTGATATCTATACGTACCGGAAGTAACATGGTTCACCGCATCCATATCCAGTCTGGATTCACCCAGTACTGGAAAGTTGGACTATGATGTTACCGAGCTGTTAAACTTTTTGACAACTTTCCAGTATTGTGTGACCAGACTGGATGTGGGTGCGGTGAATAATGTTAGTCGGGCCAAAGTTATTAATCAACATGTATAACTTCCGGGTACGTATAGATATTCAGATTACATCACACATTTATAGTTAACAGTTAAAGTTATCAATATAGCTATATTGATAACTTTAGCCGAAATTTATATTGATAACTTTAGCTTTAATTTTTAGTAATACGTCTATCAATTAAACAAATGAAAAACAGGAGCGTCACACAGCATCAACAGACAGCAGAAACAGGCGCCCGAATCACTGAGAACATTTGATCTAAATCAGCCGAGGCTGGTGCCGTTCCCAGGACGGATGCGGCGTTTCCACGCTGGATTTCGATGCTGAACCTCTGGCGCAGATACTCAGTTGCACGTATCTCGCCTGTTTCCTGCCATATCATCTTGCCCAGTTCGCTGATCAGCCGAGAGGCTTCCGGTCCGAGTGGTCCTACTGTCTCCACGCCCACTGCACGGAACAGGTAGTCCTGGGCGATGTTCTGGTACTTCGCGGTTTTCTTCCGTTCGGCCTGTGCCGCTGCTGCGCCAGCTTGGATGGATGTTGCTGCAATATGGGAGAGGGCCATCGTACACACACAAGTCACATCCCATGTCAACATTTTGCCTCGTTCCCATGGCACTAGGGTGACACCGTCCGGGCGTAGGCCGTTGGTCGGTGAAATTCCCAAAGGCTCCAGTTCAGTCTCAATGGTGGCTGAGGCGAAGGCTCGCTTAAGCGTGGCGTTTAAGCTGCTGTGTCTAGACTTTCGGCCTCGACTTTTTTTGCAGCTCAAGCCATGGTATCCTCGATCGTCCACCCATTCATTGCAGATGCATCTGTGCGGAGTTACAATCGGTGCTCCCAAGCGCAAGCCAACGGCAATCCGTAGTGCAGAATCGTTCAAAAGATTACCCAGAGATGCAGCTGGTAGAGCATCCAGCCATGCCCCGTTGTCCTTCGTGCTAACACCTAAAAGCCGCGCTTGGCTGGAAATATCAGACTGGGCAATTTCGGTTAGCGTCTTCACGGAGGTCTGGATAACTGGTTCATCCCACACTTTCTGATACTTTCGGGCTTCTACAGCTGGAAGGTTAACTTCGGTCACACGCTGCCACTCGGCTTCGGCATCACCGCAGTACACCTCCGGGTCGAAATCGGAAATATCGGATGCCAATCGGGTCACTGAGTAAGCCGAGGCCAGAAAGGCCGGAAGGGCAAGCTTCTCAAGACTCCGGATTCCGAGGCCACCTTCTGCAACCGGAAGTGATGCCTGAGTCCAGTTCATGTCGGTGAGGTTTACGTTGGTGATTGCACAAAGGCATTCACGAATCATACTGTCGAATTTGGTCAGCAGGCCTCTCTGTAGATAACAGCGAGCGGTGCGTAGCTGGTAGGTCATTCTTACCGGTCCCATGCTGCACTTTAATAAATAAAGCGCGTGATGAGCCGGTAACACTTTCAGTCGCTGTATCATTTTCGCAATTCGAGCTGTCGCAGTTGTTAGCGTCCCCGCCACGGCAGCATCGTGGAGTGGAGCGCCAAGGTACTGCAGTTCTTCCAACTGCGGGCACTGGAGGTCAGGAAAAGACTCGAGGAAGGCACTGCGAACAGCCTGGCGAACTTTAGCTGATAGCCGAAATTCGAACAGCAGAAATTACATATTTTGGACTATTAATAAATGATACTCTAGTCTATATGTAGTCTATATAGTCTATCATTTATTAATAGTCAAAAATATGTAATTTTTGCTGTTCGAATTTCGGCTGTTCTTCAAAATTATTATGTTTTGCTGTATGTTCTTTTAAAATTGCGATACTATGACGGGACTGCAAAAGATGATAAAGATCGTGGTATGTATTGCATGTACAGTACATAATACATATACAGCACGTTGCATATCGGTCAGAGTGTTCCGATTGAGACTGTAAGATTTCTAGTGTTGACGGAATATTCGAGCTAAATTTACCATAAGTCCATAATTAAAATATAGTTTAAAAATATTCATGTTAAGTCTGAACTACCAGAATTTGTAATTATTAGCATCCGGGGATTTCCTACGTATACATACATTTAATGGGCAACAGCCAATCCACATATCGGTATGCTTCAGCAGGTTTACACTAATTAAAATGATTAAATTTTAAACATTGAAAAAACACCCATAATCATTATTGTCATTCAAAATCTTATGATGTGCACTCAAGGTACCCAAAACAGCTGCTGCGTTTCCTCTTACTACAGCCAAACTTAATCGCTGTCTTAAAAAGGCCGTGGATCTAGGCTCTCCTGTAGCGTCGCGGATCTTCCGGCCAACAAAACGAATCAGTTCCGCAAACGATGTTCCAAAAGTTCCGAACGTCTCGACCGCCAGAGCGTAGAAAAAATAGCCCAAGCCCTCGACGAATGCGTACTTCCGCCGCTTGAAATTTTCCGCCAGTTGTGCGACACTCCCGGCTTTCAGGGAGCTAGCATGCACACGTATTGTTCCATAAAAGGCTAGCTAGAGCGGAATAAGTGGGCGAGACGAGCATCCCCTTTAAAAACCTTATGACTGCCTGGCAGGTTGGCAGTGACGGCACCGGTTGGCGGGGAGCATAAGAGGCTCGTCTCTCTACACCACGCTCGTAAGTGCAACCGTGAGCAAAATTTAATGTGGCTGTGAATCGCAGTCAGATGTGCTTGCTGGTGCAAAACGCAAAGTGTGTCATTCGCATCGCTACAAATAATCCATTTCTAACACTTTCAGCTTTCAGCGCTTTCCCAATTGAAATTTTGACTTTTCAAAATCTTCTTTTTGCGCGCATCACATTATCGGATTTTTTATCATTGGACTGGTTGTCAGGTTGTGCCTTTATCCACTGCACCATGCCTCCACCACCACCGCGTCCTCCCCCCGGACCACCCCCACCTCCTGGTCCCCCACCGCCCCCCTCCGCTGGCGCTCCGCCGGTCGCCAAGCCTGCCGCCGCATCCACAGACCGAGCGATGGTAATGGCGGATATCCGAAAAGGCGCCAGACTGAAGAAAGTCGACAGGAGCGAAATCAAGGATCGCAGTGCGCCAGCCGTGGCAGGTGGGTGGCTGTAATTACGGCGGTGCTGGGTGATTCATCGTTCACCTGCGCGTGCAAGCATAGGGCAGTACAGGGAACTGGTAGGCGCGTGCTGCGGTTTTGTGTTGTTTGTTGTGCCTTGCAAATTCTCTGCTTTTGAGTTTTGACTTTTCTAAGTTTTCTCGTACACTTACTTGACTCTTGAGTCAGAAATTGAAATCTTTATAATTTTATTATTTGAAATCAAGAGTGTTGTTTTATTCATTTTTCGGTGTTGGTAAATTGGAATTTCATGAAGGATAATAAAAGGAATTCGGGTTTTTAAGAGGATTTTAATGCATTTTAATCATTTAATGCGAGTATTTGTATTTCATGAAAATTTTTACTCAATTATTTTTTATCGTTTTTCTTGTATGTTTGTCAAATTCGATGATGAATCTTGTTCTGCTGTCAGTTTTGCATGAAATGCTTTTTTAGCATTCCCTTATGGTATTGTTCGGTAACTCTTATGTGGTCTGTCTGTTTGATTGGCGATATTTTTTGCGAGGTGTTATTTGATCGACATCCGACAGATAATTTTCCATTGGAAGTTGCTTTTGTTGTATAACGCATATGTATCCGTTGTCGCGTTGCATAATTGTTTGTTTTTTCGATTTTTAAGGATGCTTTTTGTTTGTTTTGATTTCCTAATTGTGTAAGTTTTTTTTAAAAGCAACCCAGCATTTCAGCGTGATTTAGCCCAGATTCTGGCTATTCCAAAAAAATAGAAATACGGAATAATTTTTGGACACTGTGCAACGATTTTAAAAAATAAAATTATTTGTTAACATAACAACGCGCGAAAATTCCATTTAATTTTATTTGCAGTGTTTTAAAATTTTGTCCTGGATGTCTCATTTTTGCCCATGTTCTACGATCTTTCGGTAATTGTAAAATTGTAAAACATGACTAGTAAATGTCGAAAGACTTTGAATTTTTCAATCAGAAAAATAAAAATGTAGATAAATTAACTCAAGAATATGTTGCATGCGCACTCGCAATTTTTTGTAGTTAACTTTAATGGTTTTTAGTTTAATTAGTCATGAGCATGCAGAGTTTCCGAGCGGAAAACCTTCACCAGCTTCGAACCATGTCAAAAGCATTTCGCCGTGGATTTTTTACAAAAACTACTTTTTCTCGTGCGATTTTTCTTGCCGCTGCGCAAACAGAATGCAGTACATTGAATGAGGTCGTAGCGACAGTATAAATCTCTAAACAACACCGTATTGTTAATTACACGCCGCGGCGCGATGGTATTCCGCGGCGAAAGACAGTGGTGGTGTCTGTTGGTTGGGAAAATCGGACAGTGGTGCGTGCCGATGGACGGGCACTTGGCTGCTCGATCGACGCGTCATGCGATGGTCGTTTTTCTTCAGCTACCTAAATGTCCTAACCGCAGGTGTGCGCTCTGCACGGCGCAGTGCAGTTGGCGGAAAATGAAAGCGAGATGGAAATTAATTCATGCGTGTGTGTGTGTGTGTTGGATGCCGATATATCACTTTATGTGCTAATCGCTGCTGTTTTTATTGTCCACACACGGCGCAGTGGTGGGGCTGTTGCGCCGCTGTAAAATGAGGCTAAACGGTAAACACAGTTAACACACACGGTGGACAACATGGAGTGTGGCTGGCGAAAGTGGCGATGTTTGGTTTGTGTTTGTTGTGGAGAATAAAGCGGCTATTTCCATATTACGAGCAGTAGCGGAGGTTGTTGATTATTGTTTGCGTTGATTGTGTTTTTTTGCGCGGCAATCGTAACATTTCGAATTTTTTGATCTTTAAATAGTCGCGTTATATTTTACAGATTAATAAAACGCAAGAAAAGATTTGGGTGTTGTTTTTGTTTAAGAACAAAATGGCCAACTGAGCAAAAATTAAATAAATGTGGACTAATAGAATTGGAGAAATTTGCGTTCTGGATTTTCCGATTTTGGCATAGGGACAACCTGGAGTTGTGACTTTCCGTCCTAAATATAAATTTATTTTGCACGTTTTTTAAAAATTTTTTTCATGGTTAATCGCTTACTTCCGGTAGTTTTATGCTCGCTCTCGCCAAAACATATCTTCATCTTTATATGCTTAATACACAGTATTGTACGAGTACGAGTAGTATCTGTATATTATTTATCTCATATTCTTCTACGTCTTGCGGCGTTGATGCTTTAAAAGCGTTAAATCGATTTTTGAGCAACATTTGAATTTTTTGTGTATTTTAATAATATTATAATTTATATGCTTGTAATTTGATGGAATAAATGAAATGACCGCAGCTTTGGGTGTTGTATGTTGTGATCTTTGCGTTTACTAGTACAGTACTATTGTACGTATTCTGGTGATATAGAGTAACTACACTCAGCAGTTTATATATTTATATAATTTAATTTCGCGGTTTTGTCATGATTTAGAAATTGATGTAAAACAGCATGAAGTACCTGACACCGTTAGATATCTACGTATTCTGTTCGTCTTTATTTGGCTTTATTTTGGCATGATCTTTACCCAGTAACTGAGGAATGTAATCGCTAATGCCAAAATTATCTTATCTCCGTACAGAGCAGCGTGCATTTTCGAAAATTGAACGGAAAAAGTAGGCATTGATGTTATAGGCTTGCCACGGGGGCTTGCCAATTTTTATCGTTGCAGCTGCAATTGTAATCCGATATAAATGTCGCCGTGTTCCGTATTTGCATACGGGCTGTTGCTATCATGTAATCGTGTTTGTTTTGCGATAAATATTGTGCGTTTAAAATTGGTGTGCACGCACGTCGTTGCAGGCTCGGCTTCGTCAGCCTCTGGCTCATCCGGTGATTCAGCCTCCACCGGAAGTTCCCGCGGACCGCCCCCGGCGGCGGGCACGGGGACCGCGGCGCGGCGACCAGCGGGCGGCTCGCCCATGTCCCTGCAGGATGAACTGCAGCGCAAACTGGGCAAACGCAACGGACCACAGGCGGAAAAAGGTGAGATAACGTGCAGTCATGAAGAATTGATTTTTTGTAATTTACGAATTTGATTTAATGATCGCACGGATTTTGTTTGTGATGGAAACAGCCCTGGAAGTACAGAAACTGAAAATTTACTTTCCCTTTTAAAAACATCACTCGTAGAAATATGTTGAATATTGTAGAATAGTGGCATTATTAGGCTGTCTGGGTTGATGTTGAAATTTAAGGCCAACAAGCCATGTACAAAAAAATTGCTGAATTGTGTGTCAGATTTGTTCTTCCTGAGCTGGGCTTTTTCTGGCATTGTTTGTAACGAAATATACATTTTGTTTTCTTCAGTTTTTTACGGGAATCATTAGATGATTAGAATGATATTATGTGCATTATATAATTGGTGGTCACAAACGACACAAAGGTTAGAACTTGGAAGCTATTAGCTTCATATTTCAGTTTCGGAGATGATTTGTCGTAAAGTAAGGGCGTAAACTACCGATGTTTTGTTTCCATGCCATAGATACGATGCCATTAGCGCCTAAATTTATCAGTATACGTTGAATATTATCAGCTTTTAATGTTATCGTGATAGCTTATTTTTGTCAGAGATATTTATTGGGTTATGATATTGAATTAGAATTTTTCTGAACGAACTATTCAGTAAATACGAGTGGTGTTATATAGGTGAATTTAAACTGAAAAAATAAAGTGCGAGATGCATCTTCACTGTGGTCTGTACGTATCAAAAACAGCGCTGAAAAAAACGCGAGGTGAAAAAAAGAATGACCTTTATAAGTAAAATAAATCAGCTAGGAAAAAATATTCGCAAATGCCGATGATGTTATGTGCAGAAAACTTTTGCGGATGCTGTAATTTGAAAACTTTTAACCATTAGTCACAAAGTTGGTGACTGTTTCTCTGTCGTTGAACAGTCAGTCCATCCGATGAATCACTCCCATCACCACCCCAGTTCATACCGCCCGCACCGGCAGCCGGTTTCTCCAAACCCAACCGCGCGCCCAGCATCCCCACGGCGGCGCCCCCGGTGCCCCGCCTCAGCCCCAACACCCCGCCGGCCCCTCCGCCAGCCTCCAGCAAACCCAGTTTTCTCGACATCCGCCAGCTGCCCAACCAGGACAGTCCCGTCACCCCTAAACCGGCTCCCACGCCCAAACCCCCGCAATTCAACAACAACGGTCTCAACTACAACAATGGTGGATCACAGACATTGCACATTCAACGCCCCTCCGACCGGAAACCCATCCCCAGCATGATGGCCACCGTGCCGCCGCAGAAACCGAAAAATCCCCCGCCGCCGCTGCCCAGCAATCCACCACCGAGAATCAGCTCCACCATGCCGCGGCCGGTCAAACACCAGCGTCCCTCGCTGCCGACGGTAGGGATACAATTTAGGCATCTGTTTTTTAAAAATATTTTGAAATAAAATGGAAACGAAAATTTAAGGAATAATTATTTTATTTGGAAATTGTTCAACATTTTTGGCTGTTTGATATAGGGGTTAATCGCATGTTAAATAGTAACGAACTTCTTCCTGTATGTTTTTCTGTTTTCAGTTTTAATTTAAATTTTAATTCGATTGGTTTACTAATTATTATTCTGAGTGATATCTTAACCTGCACTTAATTTAAAATTTTCTACGGTATGATATTAAAAAAAAACATGAAAAGCCGTTAAAAACATGAAAATATTAAATATGAAATTAAAATTTATTTTCTGCAGTTATATTCATCTTTTTTTATACATAAAATAGTCCAACTGTTAGCCAACCGGTTTATTTTATTTGTGCACGTTTTACTGTCTTTTCCTGCAGTTAATCGTTTTTTTTATGGAAATGGCTATAGGCACCCCCTTTCACCCCCGTTATCTATAGGCACCCCCTTTCGCACCCACTTAGACTATAGGTACCCCTTTCGATTAATTAATCTCTGCACCCCCTCGTGTGCGAAAGCTATAGGCACCCCCTATTGTCTGTTGCTATGTTTTAAGGTCGAATTTTGTTGACCTTAGAGAATTTTCAAGAAAGTCATTTTACCACCGGCTCCGGATCTTTTGCCTGTTCCTTTTGTAATATATGTGAGTTGCTGCAGGAGAAACAGCTCTGTAATAATAATGTCTGACAGTTCTGTAATAAGTAGCCCATCCGAAAATAATCCACGATCTGACAATGACTTGGTTTACCCAACCACTACCGAAGAAAACGACCTGAAGGACAATCACCCGGCGTTTTCCGAATTCGAAGCTGCTTTCAAGCAGTATCAAAGAGATACGTTCCAATCGTAGTCAGGCGATCTGAAAGCCTGTTGTACAACAACCATTTGTACTTCGCTCTTTATGCGAAGTCGGAAGCAGAGTTTGAGGAACAGTGGCACGCCCTGGAAGAAGTTCTGCCGGGAGACATGATCGAATACTTACCTACAAAAGAATTGGTGCAATTGCCGGAGAATGTGGAGCCTCGCATTCAGACTGGGATTTCGTCTTGTTGGCAACAACACAAACAACTTTGTGGAGTCATTTTTCAGAGCCGTCAAGGCAGCCATTCGCATGACCCGCCGAACAAGACCACACTTGGCTGAATGTATTCGAGTTGTCCATGAGTTTGCATGCGAGTCTATCCAGTCATCAGAATACTTTGAATATCTGCATGACACCACATCACTAAAGATACATGCACCAGAACACCAACGACTTTTCGAAGAACTTGGTCACCTGCTGAATGATTTTGCCAATCGTCTTCTGTTCAAACAACTTGCTGTGTTGAAGCGTGTCAGTTACGAGGTGGAAACGGTAATGGATGGGATATATGTTGTTACCAATCCAAACAGCGAAAAACGTTTCGCGGTGACCGGTCAAGACACACTGGAGTGTGACTGCGACTTTGCCTGTTCATATGGTTTAACTTGCCGCCACATTATGGCGGTACATTCAGCACGCAAAAAGCCAGTGGTGAATCCTCAAGAATGTATCGCGCGCTATGCGCGAGCTATGAAGACGACGGGCGCACTATACAAGGGAACCCTTTCGAACGCCGAACAGTTTGAGGACGACATCCACCGTTGTCTAAACCGCTGAACGCCCAGCAGAGATGGGACGAAGCCAGAAAGGTGTGCAAGCCGGTTATGTCGAGACTTGCAGAACTTCCGCCTAAGCGATTCGTAACGGCGTCTGCCCGTTTCAGCAAAATCTTGGTTGACTTTATCGAATCACTGGAAGCAAATGATGTCCCTAGCGGGAGTAGCGACGATGAAACGAGTTCCAAAAGTGACAGCAATGGCAAGGAAAGTGACGCTCCTCCTGCGCTAGCAAAAGACGAAAGTGTTCAGCTTTTGCCGCGTAGCTCTCAACTGACTCAAAAAAAATAAAAATGGGTGCCTATAGTCCGCGGATAAAAACGGGGTGCGAGAATTATCTAACGGAAAAGGGGTGCCTATAGTAAAACAGGGTGCAAAAGGGGGTGCCTATAGCAAACGGGGGTGAAAGGGGTGCCTATAGTCTCACCCTTTTTTTATTGATCTGTAACTGTAATGCCTTCGCTTTAGAATGGTTGAGCTTATCAAATTAAAAAAACTTTTCGCTTCACACACTTTCATGCCCGATCCCCGTTTGAGATTTGATTGTGGAGTAATATAAAATGAAGAATAAAATGTGAAAGCATGATTTTAACCCTATAGGACAGTATGGCAGTATCGGGCGGGGATTCCAGCCCTCCAGCGCCGCGTGTTCCTGAACGGATGCCCAGTCAACGTGGCGGACAACGGCCGGCCACTGGGCCGCCGCCGCCCCCACCTCCCGGCAGCCAGGTGGATGGGTTGGTGGTCAATGTGCAGCAGAAACCCCCACCACCCTCGCGGCCCCCGGTGATGGGCAAGACCCCGCAGCCGCCGGTCGGCCCGATGGCCCCGGTGCCCGTGACGATGTCGCACAGTTCTTCATTGAGTTCCCTGCCGGGACACAACAACGGGAGTGTACGCCCACCGCGGCGTACGGATAATCACGAGGGTATAGTGGAAAATGGCAAGGGGACGTTGCGCGGCGCCCCGGCCCCGCCGGTGCCCGTGGGAGGGCGGTCGCCGCGCGGATCGGCTGCGGCCCTGATTGCTCAAGGTGGGTTCTTAAATTTTTGTCTAGAACGTTACAGATCACATAATTTTCGTCTTAAAAATCGTCACTGGTTAAAAGTTTATTCTTGATTTTTATCATTTATGTATGGTTTTCGTTTGCTTTTCGCAGGATATTGTCCATGTTTACAATTAATTTCTCTCATGAGTTTTTCGCTGAAATGTTTGTATTAGTCACCCAGAAATGTTTCAGTACTCGTAGTGTTTCTCTGGAAATTTCCCCGCGTATGTTTCCCCAGAAATGGGTGTTGTTTATGTGAATTATCTGATTTATGAGATTTTTTCGAAATTATTCGTATTTAATCAAATTTTTTGCTTATTTTCGCATATAGTCCTGAAAAAATTGTAAATCATCTATTCACTCTATTTCAGATTACAGGATGTTTCTTTATTTTGTATATTTTTTGTGTTTATTCTTAATTTTTTTTTGGATTTGAACTTCTGAAAAAAGTATAACAGTCATAATAATATTCAGATGGTTTTGTGTTTTTGGTGAATTGCTTTCTTTTTTTTACTGTTTAATTCTAGTATAAATACTTCAGAAAAAAAATTTTGCTGATGAAATTTGGTTTTATTGCGTAGAATTTGAAGCGAAATTCCAATTCCACGCCATCAGCGAGCTACCAGCACCCGGGAGGTTCTCCGGAATGCCCAAGACCTACCCGTCAACCAAGAGCCGCACCCCGCGGCCCGTCGCGCCGGCTCCTCCTGTCGTCGGGCAGGTCCGATAAATGTGGATTTAATAGTTGGGGATTTTTTTCGTTTCTCTTTTTCCTTTTTTTTACGGTGCAAGGATAGTGTTTTTTTACGGATTTTTGATATTTTCGCGCCTTACGGTGAGGAAATGTGTCGACGGCAGCCACGTACAGTTTATCGGGCGATTATTGTGTTTTTGTGAAATTTTTATCCTGTATTTACGTGTCAATGTGGTTTAACATCCGCTGGCTTTACAGATTGTTTACACTGGATGAATTTGTAGTTTATATCGTAGGTTTTGTATGCTTTTCTATATTGTAAAATGAATGAAAAATTATTGGATTATCCGTTTCGTGCGAGGTATTTTGCCAGAGCAAATGAAAACGATAATAAACTAATTTTAATTTCGATAATAATTTTTGTGAATTGATGAATAAATGATAATAAATGCTGATTTTTACTAACAATTTTAATAAATAATTGTTTTGAAAATGTAAAACATACGTGGCATACATGGTACTTATACTCGCAGTGTTGTTTATCTTGAGATTTTGAAATGAAAAATTAAAACAGCGCAGATTGAGCTGGGCAACGGACAGAAAATGTTTGTACCAGTACGTCTACAGATGGCAAGTCAAAACAAACGTTATCGGTTGCGCATTAGCGCAATTCGCGCGGGATCTACTAGTTGGAACATATGTAATTACGTGCGGCACAAAATTAATATAAACAAGACAGTCTAACAAAATTGGCGGGAAACGTTTTTTGTTGATTTATTCTGTTGAGACACACTACAAATTCATAAACACATTTGCAAGAGTTTACTCAACATTTTTGCACATCGAATGATGCGTTAACCTTGGTAACGCAGGCCGAAATTCACACTGTGAATGTACAAGTACAGAAAAAGGGATCGTTATCGTCTTCCGCACCGTTTGTACCGTCGCGGTATATGTTATCGTTTTGAGGACTTTACACGATATGGATACTGGATAGGCTGTAATCGGTGTTGGCACAGCCGAGCAGTTACTCGCAGTTCATCCTATCAGCCGAGACCGAGGGGTGCAGTGCAGCAGCGCACTTTGGAGCCGGTCCAGCAGCAGGCACCGTCACCGCAGCTGTGCGTGGCCACTTGGTTCTCACCCTTCTCGCACACGGAATTGCAGAAGGGCGATGTGCCCACCTAAAATAGTATAATGGACAAACTTAATACTTATCGCTTCTGCCGGTGTATTTATTCTGTTATGTAACGGAATGTAATAATTGACAACAACAGCCAGGAAGACAATCCACGTCAACGACCAGTACCACGATAAACATTGCGGGGTACAACAAGGGAAAAAACTTCACATTGTGCGCCAGTCTTATCGTTCTATCGAATGAATTAATTAGACTTAATTGAGACCGCCGTACAAAACATCGGTTACGTTGACTGTTTGCCTCAAAATGCTAACAGGATCGAGTACGAGTATAATATTCAACATGAAGTTTTGCCTGCATAGAATTCCCTACGTAAAAATACAATAAAAGTCCAGAACATGCAGTATTTACTTACGACCACAATAAATACAATCACGATTACAATTCACAATAATTATAAACAACAATGCTTTTGGTATCATCCACAATAATTCACATATATTACAGTCGACAGGAAGAGCCATGCATTCGACAAGCGATACCCGAATTGTAATCCTATTTATTAAGAAAAACGTGAAAACATAAACATAGTGCATATATAATAAGCGCCAAAAAAACTGCATTTAGTTGGTTTAGTAAACTAAATTATTTCGGAAAACATAACCTTATTGCAGCGTGCATATACGTATTATAACAAAAAATTTGTAAGAGGCTATGCATCGTATACTGTACTGGCGTCAAATCTTTGTTACAGCAGATTGCAAAGGTCATTCTTTGCTTAATATTGTGAGAATTTTATTTGATTGCGTATTATCCAGATAATGAACGATGCCTAAATAACTGAAGTGAATAAACTATTACTGTTTTAATAGGCAGCAGCCAATGCACATATCGGTATGCTTTCACAGGTTTACACTAATTAAAATGAATAAAATTTAAACATTGAAAAAACAATAAACTATTGTTTCAAAACATATTTCGCCTAAATATAAAATGCTATACGCAATACTGCATGTGCAAAAAAGTTGAACTTGTTATGAAGATAAAGTTGCATATTTGATCAAAATTTCCTTACCCAGCGGCATGTTGTGCCGGGCAGCGTTATTCCATCGTAGTATGTGGACGTGGTCTGTGCCTGGCAACCCAGCAATAATCCCAAGAAAATCAAGGCCGTAAGCTTCAACATATTGCTAATTACCGTAGAAGTATTTAAAATACTTAAAAAATTCCGCCGACAAAGTATTGCACTGCGCTGGTTTGTTAAACAGAATGTTGGAAGCGCTCACGGTACTGTGGCTTTAAAAAGGCGACAGAAGGCCAATTTCCGGTAGGGGACCGATTTCTGCAGGGCAGTGAAGTGGATAAGCCGTAATCGTGGTCGAATCTTTCCTATAAAATCTCGCTGTATCACCGCTACAGTGTATACATACATATACAGCACACAAAGCGTGAAGCCAGGAAATTCCCGTCGAGTTTTTGTATATGTTGGTTGCTGCCACTTTATACCCACTACATATTAATTTTGTCTGGAAGTGTTTGCCTAGACGGTTAACGTCTTCATCCATCAAAATACATACAATATCTCTTCGCTCTTTAATTTCTAGTAATAGTAATGAACTTCTACCAAAAATCATTTTATAAGTGCATTTGTTGTTTTCTTCACATCCTCGCCATTACAAATAAATTTATTGTACCCGTAATTGTCAGTGATAATATTCAAAAGCCAGAACAAACAAGTTAACGATACAGTGTATATAAGGAATGACAACAACATGGACTCTATATGCAAAACATTCTGTCAATGGGATGAATTCCATGCTAGAGCAGATGATTACACAGTCAAAGTCGGCAGCGGTACGAGAATCTGAATGAAATGTTATGGAATGGGATCATGGGATGTGGATGTTTATTCATGAACGTAACGGTGAATTATGCAACAGAGAGCGCATAGCGCAGGGCGAGCTGCATAGGTCATCACGATGACAGCTTTGATACGAGATTGGTGGCTACATTGAGCAGCACTTGTATTTGTAGCCGGTCCAACAGCAGGCGCCGTCACCACAAGCTGATTTTTCCTCTTGTGATTCGCCGTGTTCGCATCCGGCATTACAAAACGGGGCCACGCCGATCTGGAAAAAAATTAAAGTGGAATAGCCGACGTGCATAAACATATGTATAACAAGGTTAAAATTACAGTAAAAGGTATTTATTACGCTCGGCGAAATTTTATTCGGACCTACGTGAATTATAACGTAATCCGATAGAAATCATCTAACCTTGTTAAAAGATGTGTGCACTTGTACATTTTCACTGTTTAAAAATCACCTGCGCCACTAAATAATTAAGATATTTAAATTTAAAATAGCGCAAGTTAATTCTCACTATTACATAATATCACATGTACATTAAGCGAGCAATTAATGGACACTACTCGTACTTAAAATTATTACAAAATTTATACATGGAACAAAAACTGGTTCTAAAGCGTTTGCAAATGGTTTTTATTTTTTAGTGGCAGCATACGTACATGCGTCTGATGTATTGTGAAGAATAACATTAATGCGTAAGAAGAAATGTTAATGCTGAAATATTTTTACATAAACACCCTGTATTGTATCTGTAAATCTGCCGTCGATAGTACCTAAATATGTCTACAAGTAATTCTTGAGGATGGCCGTAAAATCAAAGAAGGCCGGGAAATCAATGAAAGATCTAAATTACGATTCTCTTACCCATCGGCAGCTTTTCATTCCGGTCACCTGGCCTATGGATTGCGCTGATTGTGAGGTCTGTGCCTGAGCAAGGGTGAACAGGCTGCCCACCAGGAATACAATCAGAGGAATGTAGTTCATTTTTTTACTGTGACAGCACTAATACAGAAAAAGTTAAATAAAAATAAATTTATCCCTTTGTACGACTAAAGGAATCACGCGAGAACGGAGTGGTAAATGAACGCAAACTCGTTGAGAACGAACCGCGTGAAATCTATTATACGCAGTGTGTTCACACTGACCTTTGAGTACACGATAGTAATCACAGCGAGACTTTTCAGTGAAATCTCGGCGTACGTGGATTTTGATTCATAATACTTTAGAAGCAGCGCCCCACGTTCTGGTAGTGTATCGCCTGAACCCGCGGCTTTCGCACGATTTATGAGTCGGCACAACTAATGGCTTGAGCCTTGAATCAGCCCACTGCATGCTTAAACGTTAGGTCTTCGCTTATTCCTAAAACTGTATTAATATATTTTGTGTAAATTTTTAATTTATTTCGGTCGTCAAACGCATCGTTCCATTTGCTGGAACTGCATTACGTGTTACTTCTCACGTCAACCGGGTAGTTGAAAGTGTATTGGTATTAATAATTGTTTTAATGAACGGGGAGTGCAAAGTACAGTACACTTCAGAGTACTACTCTAGAGAATGCGGTACAGAACACTCACGAAGTAAATATTATTTACCGATAGGCTAATTCTTATTTGGATCAGTCATTACACAGAACTGCAAGGCTTGACTGATCAATAGTGAGAATTAAGTATAAGCAAAAGAACTCGATCCATTTCAACAAATTGTATCCTTGAACGACAGCATTACCTATGCATGTGGCATAGGATCGCCATAATAAATTTTTTTAAATCCCGCAGGGAGATAACAAACAGCACCGGATCAATAACACCTTGTAAGACATACAAAACTAGGGCCGGCTCATCCAGAAACGAAGTGTCAAACGAGCTGACCGTCCGCAGGATATACAGCGAATCCGTCGGCAGCCAGCACACCGCGATGGTAATTGTCAGACACGTTAACACCCTGAACGCTTCCCCGCTTCTTCCTTGCCGCCGCAGCATCCGTGGCTGCTCCTGCGTACCGGTATCCACGGTCTGTCCAACGCGTTTATTGCGGATCTGATGAAAATACCATAGAAACGGGTACGCTCCCAAAATAACCACCGTGGGAATAATGTACATGGACACCACAACCACCAACACCCAGTGCGGCTGCGCTTCAGTATTAGCCATGCATCCGTTCACCGCCACCGGGCGGCGGCGGTACACTACTTCGTCCTGGAGATAGAAAGGTAGAGAGATCGCGTGCACGTACAACCACATCGCCCCGCAAATCACAATGGCCACGCCCTTCGTGTGGGATTGGCGGTAGGATACCGGAAAGGTCAGCGCCCAGAGACGGTTGATGGTGATGAGGACGTGGCAGTAAGTGGCACCGGCGGCAAATACACTGTCCATGTACAGATACACCGAGCATTCGAATTCATTCTTTATGGCCCAGAAAGGTACGCGATATAAACCGATGAGCTGAATAACGTTCATTACAGAACCTTGGATTGTGTTGGAGAGCGAAAGACAGATGACATAAACGGTGAAGGATGTACGGAGGTCTTCTTTCACAATAAACGGTAGGAGGACCAGGGCGTTAAGAAAGACATGGAGACCTGTTACGACGGGGAAGACCACTGTGAACCAATCTGTTGGAGGGGACTCTACCGAGGACGAATTGGCTGAAATGTCGGCGATGTTCGATGTGTCAGTATCCATGAGATGCGTAAAATTTCCCGGCATAATTACTATTACAACGATATCACTTGAAAATAACTATACTATTAGAATTGTGCATCTCACTGAAGTTGTAAGCTCGAAGAAGTTGTACGTTAAAATATTTTGACCGAGTATGGAGGAAGGACAAGAAAATTCAACATGCAAGCACGGTTGCACTACATTTTAACTAAAAACCTGGACATTAAAAAATTATGAACATCACATCCGGGAGAAACAGATGCGAAGCAGTAAGCATCTCTAAGAGCAGCATCAATCTCGTTGAGGGCTTCCAAATATAGGCGAAATGTATCGACTGCACGAGGTAAACCGATGCTGTACTTTAATTAGTAGCAGCACAATTACCAGGGTGGTGACACCGGTGCTGTGTGATCGTGATCTCCAGGGAATTAGAATAAGCTCCTTATACCAAAAGTGTTATTATGAGAGCGCGCAACGTTTCGTTGTATCGCGGTAGAAATTTTGTATCTGTCATTTGTGCATCACGCTGTTTGCATCTAAACGGAAGTTATACTCTCATGAGTCTCATCTGCAAAGAAGCTGCGCCAACTGCTAGCGGCGTTACAGAATTGCGTGTTTAGTGCATGCGTAGTTCGTGTACAACAGCCAAAATTATCCTACTAATTTTTAACAAAAAATTAGCAAAATGAAACGTAATGTGCTTGCACAGAATTCGCAGCAACGTCATGCAAACGCAGCAGGCGCAGTTTATTCAACCTGATTTTGGGTAATCACGTTTGTACACCGTGTGAGAAGTTGTTCCAAGGCGACTTTTACGCCTTCCTGTTTAGATGAATTCCTGTTAGCCAGTTCGGAAAAGAGCAGGACATAACTTAACACTCCTCCCGCCGTCTGCAAAGGAGCAGTTTATTATATTATTAGGAGCAGTTTATTATATTATTATGCAAAGGAGCAGTTTATTATATTTTTTTTTTATTGTTGGACACAGGCTTTCTATGAAGCAGTTACCGAGATAGGCTAAATACAGATAAAACTGTAATTAACAATTATCCGCTGTATGCCAAGACTTACCGCGTATGCGGCTTCTCGTGTCACGATTATACCGCCTAAAGTGAAGCATCCAGGGTGTACGTACGAGGAATTCACGCATAATCTAACCGCAAGCGAAGGTGTGGTAGCATGCAGGGCTTCTTCTAGCTGTAGCATTGCTGAGTGAGCCTGTACCACAGTGAACTTTCAATATACTCCCGCTTTTGCTTTTAGCTTAACATTAATTAATTTCATAGTTTAATTTCAGTGGTGAACTAAATTATAAAGTTACCAAAAACTACAAAATTACAGAACTAAAATATAAAATTTCGAAAAGTTAAATGCATTCAGGTGTTCCAAAAGATTTATTATGGACCGATCTCCTTCCAATTTTGCACGTAAAAGCACATGGCCATGAAGATGGTTTTTACACCGATCCAGACTTCCATGATTTTTTTCAAATTTTAAAATCAATTTTAAAATTTTTGGAATTCATTTTAAAATTTGAAAAACATGCTAGAACAGTGGATCGATGTAAAAACATTTTCCTGGCTGTGTGCATTTACGTGCAATATATGAAAGACATCAGTCCATACTGAGACTTTTGGTACACCTGAATGCATTTAAACTTTTGGGAATTTTTTAACAGCCACAACTCCCGAACCGGATGTTGTGCGCACGAACGGTTTTCATGCCGGTGTATACAAATAATTTGGCTGCAGAATGTCGTAAAACAAGAGAAAAAAGGGTTTGGGAGTGCGCGAAAGTGAAAGATTTCATGCATGTACACGAATTTGGTACCATGTACCGGGCCACTTCCCTTAAGTTGTTACTGTACCTGCTCGTAACTGTACACCAACGCGCTGATACTGATCGCCAGTAAAACAATGTCAAACGCCAGAAGCGCTACATAGCCAGGTGCGACGACTTTGTTGTCTCGGAGATCACCGCACACTTTGTACACGGTGTCAACAATCCATCCGAGATGATCGAGACACCCAAAAAAAGTGACCACTGATAACCAGCTATCGAGTTCTTTAACCATTCTGGACAATCGAACAAAAGCCCAATAGCTTTTTACGGCTGTTGCTGGATTTGCATGTTCCGAAGCAACTTTCGTTCTAAGCAAAGAGTATGCAATTCCTATCAAGAATCCCAAAAAGGCAACAAAGCTCTGTAGTATTTCTCGTCCCAATTGATTGACGCGGTTAAAGAAAATGTAGCATATCACAAAGATTTCAGCTTTTGAGTATAGAAACACTCCGCCATAAGCGGTGCGAAATCTTTGAAAAAGGGTCTGAAAAGCAACCCCGGTGTCAAACACGTAAATCATAGTGCAAAACATTGTTATTAATATGGTCCACTGCGCCGCCATTCCACATATAATCGGCACTTTCGCTTTTCCGGTGAAATGTCGAGAATAAGTAATATCGAGATGCCGCAAGGCTTTGTCAATCTGCCTGTTGCATCTGAACATGCAAAAGATGTAGAAGAAGGTGGAGAACAAATTAACATAGCGAAGTAATCCTAGAGCCAGTACCCCGAAGCTACGCGTAGACATGTTCTGGTTGAAATAAAACACTACTGAAAAGTCATAAGCGTAGAATCCTTGTACGGTCAGTTGAATAAAAATGTATATAGTCAAATAAGTGAATAAGGCAGTCCTGGCAAAACGTAAAGTTGGAAATGAACCGTTGAAGAAGCCTGACACTCGTAAAATCACCAGCCAAGGTTTAGTTACTGCAGCGATGAAAGGAGGCAAGTGTCGAGGATGCTGTTTATTCGACATCGCTTGCCTGATGAGTAAAAACTCAGTACTGTATTTATCAGTAATGCTTCGCTTTACCGTTAATTAAGGAAAGAAAGGCAGTTCCTGAGCTCTGTGCCATAAAGTAGGAATCTCAACTACGCGGTACATGCTCCCGTGAACTGTCTCATGTCTGTTTGCGGAACTGGACTGTTTTTCGACGTTTTGTCATTTTTGGCAAATTCGGCCATTGACAAGCCAATCTGCAGCTTGAAATTTAATACGTTTTGCTTTGCTCGTGCCGTTAAAAGTGGGCATTTTCCGCAGTACCGTAGCTACTGTAGGTATTGCCACAGATGTGGCCGATTGGTATCTGTAAGCTGATTGATCAAGTTGGATCAGCTGTGTGACACGCTTATTAATTGCTGTACGTTTCCGAAATTTTAATGGCTGCATTGTAAGGCGCATTAGTTTTAATGGCTGCATTTACAAGGATGCACAAAATACAAGTAACAAACAAATAAGAAATACTTTCTTAGTTGACCCCGGCAATAGCGACCACTGACTCATTTGCCAGTATTTCATGAATTTGCTTCACGAACCAATCCTCTCTGGGTGTCCGGCTTTCGTGACCAAAATCGGCGAACAGCATGACGTTGGCGGTAATTGCTGCTGCTATCTGAACAAATCAACATCGGAAAAAGATTAAGGAATTTGTTCCGGGTGACTTAAGGTGCCTCTTAACCTTACCGCAAGGCAGTGTTCCGGGGTTATTCTGAATCCAACGATAGTTGTTCGGTCCATATCCAGTTTTATTACCTCTATTTCATCGTTTAACTCGGCGGAGAACTCATGGAAATTAATAGTCGCGGTTCTCAAAAAGGGGATAACGGATAAAAGCTAAAACGAGCAAAAAACGTTGTTTTTTTGAAATCTTGGAATGACCAAAAATTTTGTTTGTGCTCCTGCACAAGAAAACCGTCTCGGTATTTCTATGCTTACGCTTTCGTGATAAAATAGCGAAGTCAACAGGAGAGCAGCTAGCATGGATCCAGAGCGTATTATAAGGAAAAGGTCGGACAGTTCATGCGCTAGGCTGTGATTATCCGCAAACGCCGCACCTAGAGTATATGTTGAAGCGACCATCCAGCTGCTGTACTGGAGCACAACACAGAAATTGAACCACACCAAATCTCCACTGATTTCCGCTATGATTTCTCGTAACATTATGTGGAGATCAAAGCCCTTGTTAAATTTTTCCCAGTTATTTTCGGCTAAACTTTGCTCCAAAATATGGTTAATATAGCGAAGCAGTGTGGCCAACAGCCAAACAGTAAAAATCATCAGAGTCTCAAAGAGTCTCTTCCAAAAATTCCCGATCCTCCAGTAGGCAAAATAAATTGCCGTGAAGGCGTAGCAAGGTTTCGAAAGACAGGTTCCTGTTTCTTGTCCATATGAAAGGATGTCTTCTGCAACGACGCTGTGAATCTGAAGAGCTAGGTGGAAACTGAGCCAAACCGAAAGCGACAACATTATCCTTCGCTTGTCAGATTTAGAAAGGTAATGAGCAAATTTCTTGTCAATTTTTGCTAAGAGTACTGAAATCTTACTATTCACACACCAACAAATTCCAAGTGTTGATAGTACAAAGACGGAACTGAACAGCTCCATAAGGTAGATCAGAATTCTTGTAAAATTTAAATCCAACTGCACTTCGGCAACATTGTCGTATATGACATACAACTGCGCTGCTCCAATTATTGTCGCTTGAGAAAGAATAAAAATATTTACTGAACAATTCATCCATCGGTGATTTGTCAAATCAGTGTTGGGAAGTCTCCCAAACCCAAAAAGCGAAAGAACGACAAACCAGTTACTGTAGAGTTTGCATATAAATCCAGGAGAACGACCGTCTGATTGCTCCATGGAAGGTTAGCGAGCGCCGCTGCAGCAGTGAATCACTGTAAAGTCATCTGATTTAAGGTTACCGTAGCTGTCTGTTTTCAACGACCCCCTAGCTCGCTCAAAGGAAGGCAGGGATAAGCATAGCGCAGTGTTCCAGCTCGTATAATGATGTGCAAACGTTTAGGGATAGTACTGCATGATGTGTTGCTTATTTGAATGATTTCGTAGAAGCGACTGCCCACAATATCAGCAAGCCCTGGCATTTTAAAGTGAGACTGCAAACGCTCTTGTTCAAATAAGGCGATCAGTGTTTCGTGGTATCTGTTGTCCATCCGGTGCAGTACAATTTAGGATGCTGTGTGAG